TCTGGTTGCTTTATGTCTTTGAGAATTGAAAGGCTTCCTCACCAGTTTTCCTATGACGCATGATTCACAAAATGTGTCTGGATCACATTTTGCTAAAGATTCACATGCACCAACGCATAGCTCAGGTATTTTTCTCAGATCACTGAAGTTTAGGTGACCTAGTTTGTTATGCCATTCTAAAGCACTACATTTTTGGGTAATCAATGCTTCTGGTTTTTTATTTAAATCTACAATGTACAACCCTGAACTAGTTTTCTTTCCTTCGAGGACAACATTTTCGTGTTTTATAGGGACATCTCCCATCACTATTTTTATTGTATCATTGTCAAATACAGCAACTGCGCCTTTTTCTGTCACTGCATTGATGGATAACAAATTTCTTGTTAAATTAGGAACATATGATACGTTTGTTAAAATAACATTTTCAGATTCCACGTCTCCAACCATGTTAGAAACTAAACTTGCTCCTTTCTTGGCACATCCAATATGATTTTCTTCAACTTCTTGAATATTTTGCATGATTTCTTCTTCGTACGTTAAATGCCCTGTACAGCCACTGTCACAAACAAATTCGGTATCAATTTCTTTATATTCTTCATTTGCAGAAAAATGTGTTTCGGCGAGAAAGGTGACTTTGTTGTTGATATTTCTGTTCCCTCTATTATCATTTTCATGATCAGCTCTGTAGCGACACTTATTTTCGGGATGATTTGTTTTCTTGCAATATTTGCAGAGAGAAAAAACATGTCCTGTATAGCAATCTTCTGTATTGTGTCCTGATTTCTGGCATTTTTGACATTGTTTTGAAGTTGATGCCTTTTGATAATGATTTTGTGTCTTTGTATTGCTTCTGCAATCCGTTTTGTAATGTCCTGGCTTACCACAATTGTAACAAGTAACTTTGGTGCTTATTTTGTTCTTGAACACAGCTTTATATGCTACCTTGTGGTCATTCTTGGGGCTATTCTGTTTTTCTTCTTCCTTTAACAGTCTTGCTCTCAGGTTTTCTAAAGTTCTTTCAGTAACTGGAGTTGAATCCCAAGCAGTACTGAAATTCTTGAACTGTTCTGGTAAACTGAGCAGTATTTTGGTGATTAGCATGTCATCACTGATTTTCATGTCGAGATTATTCAATCTAAAGCACAAATTTTGAATGTGTGCTATATTCGCCATGATATCTGATGATCTATCGAACTTGATGTTGAAGAATTCAGCTAGTAGTTGATTTTTCGTTTGATCAGTGTCCCTTTTGTATACTTTTACTAGGGTGTCGAACATCTCTTTGGAATTTTGACATGTCAGTATATGTGACTTGACACTCGATCCGATAGTCCTGAGAATTGTATATTTAGCACATGCATCTTTGGTATTCCATTCGTTTTGTTTCTTCTCATCATTTTCACATGAATCATAAGTAGTAGTCCCATCCACTATTTTCATTAGTTGTTTAGCTGCAAACAGTATTTTTATTTCAAATTCTCACAATGGAAATGAAGCGGCATCGGTTAGTTTAGGAACAGAGTCAATTTCTTCTTTGGACGTCATTTCTTGATTTTTTTTTCTTCTATATTGATATGTATTCTTGATCTTTATATTTACTAACTTTCTATGCCTCTGGGCCCATAACCTGTTGGCTATTTTGTATATTTATCGTATTATTTTGATATGAATTAATAATAATTCCTCATTTATCGTTTTTATATTCGACTTGTTTATTATTAACAACTGAACTATATTAACAAAATATGTGATGACATTGATTGACAAGATATCATTTTGATAGTCTATATAATGAGTGTTGTCGAATATGATTCATTGAAAATACTTTGTTGTTATATACTGGATGAGATCCATATTACTAGCAATAAATCAATAAATAGCATAATTTCATGAAATTCTAGCCAATTTAACGAGCTTAAAATTGATGGGGTGAAAATTGTCGGTAATATTAGGAAGGATGATCAAGATGTTATGAAAGGAAAGGTAAAAGTTCAACATTGTGTTCGAACAATCATAATATTTACGATGATTCCGTGATGATTTACGCTATATCGAATAATTAGCACGAATAGGTCAGCTCATGTATTTTCAATCTACACTACTACTCTGAATAACTTGAAATGGGTGAACATTTTCATCTCTATTATGTTTTAGTTTGAACAAAATACAAAAGATGTGCTAGCAATGCTAGCATCATTGATGTCATTCGGAACCAGTCAATAAATTAATGGAATTCTTCTGATGTTGAGAATATTCATTTTCATTTCATCAAATGATGGCGTCATCTTTATTAGACAGCGATGAAACAAAAATCTCATAAAAGCAGCAATTTCATTTGTTTCGTAGTCATGTTCGGTAGAAATACCTAACTAAGACACGAAAGAGAAGTTAATACTCCCTGATGGTTGAATGGTCGTTTTTCAGAAAATCCACACAACTCCCGCAACTTACCATTATTATAAACTGCCAACATGTTTTACATCCATTCCACTATAACATTTTACATTATTTACAATAGGGATTAGGGCTTTTCGAGTGGTTATTTAAGTGATATTAACCAGAATCGTTTCCTATTGGTCATTTGATTAAACTAATCAAATAATGACAATATACTATCTGGTACCTGCTAGTTGGTTTTGACCAATTTTTCGCTAGAAAACCCTTTATTTGAAATGGAAATCTCATTTAACTGTTTTGTCGCCAAGTTTGGTAGATACAAAATTGAATATGAAACATCAAGACGTCACATTTTCACAGTTTCGATTCATCAACGGAGAGTGGTTCAGTAATCAGTAGTTACCTATCTTGTAAATATGAACTTTCATCTGTTTATTCATCATTTCAAACCAAAATATGCATCTAGTACCCTAACTGACTATCTTATCTTTAACTGAAGCAATTTATTTGCAATGACTCACAAAAATAATGTATACATAACTGATAGAATTGATGAACAACACGACGAAACAATCTATGGAGCATTCCATTTCTGATTTCTTGTGAATCATCCGAAAAATGTGGCCCACAACCCACAACTCACAGGCCTCTTTCGTCTGCCTACGTGCCAAAAGGAACGTCCAACTATACAGTCTGTCCAAGATAAGGTTGCACAGCATGGGGATTTCGGAAACGGTAGGAGATACGAAATCGATTAAATGGGGAAAAAGTTGCGCATTCGGAAGCCCATACCAACAGCCTTCGAAAATTTTATATCGAAAAAAGTTAATTTCTGGAATATCTACTTCATTATTTTTCTCCGTTTTTATCAGAGAGACAGGAAAACTAAGAATACTTTTCCATAGCAACTTTTGTTAACGTTTAACGTGGTGATACCAACTTTTTATGCGACGTATCGTATTCGTAAAACCATCATCAACTTTTGTTTCTCAAATACAGTCCTCATAATTGTTTCACAGATTCTGAAAGCTTTTTTTATCCTGAATTCAACCATGTATTATACAAGGTGATTAGAATGTTTTTCGACCTATTTCTATCCATCATCAATGTTTTTTAGAAATTCCAAAGGAAAAATGCCATCAGTTCCACTTATTTCTGATCATTTAGTGTCAAACATTGATGGACTAGTTATTCATTACTGAAAAGTGAATAGGAAATATTTCAATAAATTATTCAATGCAGCGCTTCAAATTGTTAATGTATTCTCGAAAAATGTTCAAAATGATAACCATTATCCCCTTAACAAATAAGATATCCTCTTCTCACAGTTGCTTTTGAGACATTATCAAGTATTTCTGTGGTTATACTATTGAATGCTTCGATGATGATATGGTCGAATTCTCAGTAACTACCAGTAATACAGTGTTCTCCTTATCTTCATCACATAGTTTCTGACGAGAACGAATAGGTTTTTTGAATAACCATGTTCTTTCAAATTTGCCACTAACCTTCTAAAAATTGTTTTTTCAGGTTGACTTCTTTCTGGGTACCTATTGAGATACGAACTTCCCGCTTCAACGGAAGAGAAAAAATTGTATTCGTATTTTTCCAAAGAGCTTGTCATAATTAGTTTTTTCGAACTAATTATCCCTATGATTCTATCAATTGGAACCAGTTGATAAGGTATTAGTGTGTTGACTAATTTTTCTACAAAATGAGTGGAACTGATAACATTTTTCCTTTGGAATTTCGAAAAAACATTGATGATGGCTAAAATAGGTCGAAACACACTCACACCACCTTGTATAATACATGGTTGGAGAATGAAGAAAGCTTTCAGAATTTGTTAAAAAATGATCAGGACCTTATTCAAAAAACAAAAGTTGATGATGGTTCTACAAATACGAAACGTCGCATAAAAAAATCGGTATCACCACGTTCAACTTCATCAAAAGTTGCTATGGAAAAGTATTCTTAGTTTTTCTGTATCTCTAATGAAAACGGAGACATAAAATAAAATAAATATTCCAAAAATTCACTTTTTTCGATATTACTGAAAAACTAAAGACAATTTTGAAAATTTTCGGAATCTGTTGATATGAGCCTCCGACTGCGCAACTTTTTCCTCATTTAACCTACCGTTTTCGAGATCCCCATGCTGTGCAACCTTATAATGGGCAGACTATATAGTCACAAGAATGAGTTAGATTGAGATTAGACCTTCTAGGTCAGTCATAGAGGATTTTTACCTGGAAATAAGTCCGGAAGTTTTGAAACCCTGTAGGTTCATAGTTATGGACTAAAATTCACAAAACGCACATTCCGAGACATGCTGCCAGTTTTCTGCAAATATCTCCAAAACTGTGCATTTTTCGAAAAAATATTTCGTGACAAAAATTGAAGAAAACAAAATTTCCTACAAAAAATGTCCCTAGTATATTTTTGCTAAAGTGAGCCGTTTAGGCCCAAGAGCTGATTGAATGACAAGACAACATATTCTATTGATTTCTTAGGTGCAGACGTAGTAATTATTTAGATATAATGGAGAAGACAATCGATGATTTTCGAATTTAATTTTGAATAAGCTTTTTGTTTTAATTTTCAGGTGGAACAGAGAGATGTGCCTGGCATCGATTGCGCCTACTTGGCGATGGACACTGAAGAGGGCGTCGAGGTCGTGTGGAACGAGGTGCAGTTCTCGGAGAGGAAGAATTTCAAGAGCCAAGAGGAGAAGATCCAGCTGATTTTCCAAAATCTCACGCAACTCGAACACCCGAACATCGTCAAATTCCACAGATATTGGACTGATACGCATAACGACAAACCACGGGTGAGCAATACACAGATGGTCACCTAAAATTTGTTTTTTACAAAAAATACGGATCAAAAAATGTGAAACATAAGATCATTTGATTCACATTTTTTTGAAAAGAAATATTCTCAGATATAATAATGAACATAAAAAATGGATATACAGGGTGTCTGTAAAATGTTGGGACATGGCTCGGCTGTGGACTCCTGGGATAAAAAAAGTTTATTTAGGCCAACCTACCTATATCTAGAATCGTCTCGTTGAGTTGGTACAAGGCGTTGAAGTTTTTTTTGGAAAAAAAAATTGCTCATGAAAAGAGTAGGACATCGATTTTCATAATTTTTGGTATGGCATGTTCTGTGACTGTAAGTCACGTTTTGAGATGTTTTTGATTATCATCAGTGACAATCGTGTTGCCGTACAAATTTGGTGATAACTTTCCAAAGGTCAGACTGGAAACTTCCAGTTTTTTTTCCAGAAAGATGTTGCCTTCAGAAATATTTTTCGTATCGTGTTAATTTTTGATAACTCTCGAGGTTCAATTGCAAATAAATAATTTCTGATATGATGCATCTTGCGCATTTTTGGAAATTAATCTAATTAGTCGGACTGTTTATTGATCATGGCTACACTGTATTCTTATTGTGAACAAATTTACTGGCCCTCGCGGGCTTTACAAGAACTCTCGTTACAAATTTAGCGTTAACTATTCAGGACCTAAGGTGAGCACTTCAACGCCTTGTACCAACTCAACGAAACGATTTTGGATATAGGTAAGTTGGCTAAAATCAACTTATTTTTATCCCAGGAGTCTACAGTCAAGCCATAAAAAATTGGATGCCTCAGATCAGAAATTATTTATTTGCTTTGATACAGGGTGAATCGAAAAATCAAAAATATCAAAATTTGCCATTGAATAACCAACACCCTGTAAGAGATTTTGCGTTCAAATTTCGTATGGAGGTATTTCAGCTATGCTTGAATCGAATAGGAAAGTCACTGCTTCGAGAAAAAATGCCTAATAGTCGTTTTTGAAATTTTGACCCTTTCAACAAACAAAAGTAGGCATTGAAAATCTGAATATTTCAAATTCGTCCATATTTTCGAATAGAGCTGGTTGAGTGCTATATTATGGAATTTTTGTTTTTGAAAATCGGTCAACAGGTTCCAATTTAGGAGGGTGTTGCGGGTTGAAATCGTTGTGTTTATGATTTGAATTATTTCCAGAATTATGTTATTATAAAATGTAGACAATAAAGAGGAAACATTATCACTTATTGAATATATTCGAAATATTGGAGTCCCTTGGTGAATTGATTGACAGTTGGCTTAGTGTAACTAACAGTTGAAGATGGATTCACGATATTCAGATACCTTGGTCTGGAGATTCTAGGTTTTTCATATAAGAAACATTCAATTGATTAATTTTGAAAGATATTGAAGTAAAATAATTCATCGCATGTTTTTAGGTAATATTCATCACAGAATACATGTCATCGGGTTCCCTGAAGCAATTCCTAAAGAGGACGAAACGAAACGTCAAGAGACTGCCAATACAAGCCTGGAGGAGATGGTGTACTCAGATCCTCTCAGCCCTCAGGTAAATAAAAATAATAAAAGCTCAGAAAAAAAACATTGTATCTTTATTTCCTAGATTAAGAATCCCTTGTACTTGATGATGCTCTGGTGTAACATAGTTTGTAAGATGTATTAATTATGATCGTATCGCCACAATGTTCAATTTTTTTTGTAAGTAAATAACGAATGCTTGTGGTCGATGATTGTTGTATTTTTCTCTCTCTAATTGATTGTTCACAGATTCGTCGAAGGTAAGTCAGGTCCTGGACTTGAATATAATAACATTGATTTTCAGATGAGACGTCTAGACTTTGTTCCTCTTTTGTTTTTGTGAATCCGTCGAAAATTTTGAAAATGTCCATCGGCTATCTGTCTCATTTTTGATTTGTCGGGTAGCTCGTTAGGTATATGGAGCTTGCGTATCGGTAAATCGAGACTAAAATCGGGTCACAAATCCTAAAGGTTACAGATAGTCGCCGCGAGTAGTTTTTCCAAAATTTCCTAACACACACACACACACGAATTTCCCGGGAAACTGGAAGTTTTTTTGACTCAGCAGTTCGCAGCGATGAGATTGGCCGGCATTCGACTAGCAGCGTTGCCAGATCTTGTCCGTTTTTTCTCTCTCTCTCTCGCCACCATCTCTTCCGATATTGTTATCATCACCTTCCATGTGGTCCTTTTCTGTCCCTTCCTGTATACACCTTCTTCGTCGTTCAAGAAAAAATTGACATAGGGAAGTTGTCATGCCATGAAGGTTATATCCAATTATTGTTTTACAGGTACCTATTGTTCATTAAACCAATTCCTTTCCTATTTTTCCTCACCCATGGATTTTACAAGTGCTACTAGGAGATGTCATCCACTATTATCTCGAAGGGGCTCCGAGATACTCAGTAATTTTAACCAATATTTGGATATCATCTTCAAAAGCAAGGCCATTACTCCCTTGAGCAAGATTAATTTGCATCTTCAAATAATCTTTACTAATTCGAACATTCTGGAAACATGCCTATGGGATTCGGTTCGTAAAAGTGCCAGATAGTTTTTTTTGCACACGACATGGAAGAGTGTGTGAGATATGCCAGTATTTTTGTGACGTCGAGTGACTTGATCCTTCCGGTGCAATTCGTAGACTTTAACCAGTGTTGACTACATTAGAAACTGTTCCTGGATAGAATCGATTGGACTCAACTCTGGTGAGTATAGTGGCCAAGGGACGAAAAGCAATCTCCAGAGGTGTCTTTCCAGAATGGGAAAATGAGATAGTGTTTTGTTTTGAATCGAGATCAATCCTTTTGAGTTCCTCTACACATGCATGAAAGGTATCGTTCAAATAGCGTCTAGATGGAAGTGATGAACGTGACAGGTGCAGTGTACTAGGCTGATTGCTCAGTTCTATAGTTTTCATAATACCCCTTTCCATGACTACTTGAGAAAATCATAATCATCAATATGGTGAATCAGTGAGGATTTATTAGCATAGTATACAGTTTCTGTCTAATTGATCGCTTCTAAATAAACTGGTCAACACTCGGGACGTAACATCGTAAATTATCTGGCAAATTTGGATTATTTTAACTTTCAATTGCCAGAACCTATTTTCTAATACTTTTCATTTGTTCAATATTCTTTTCATTGGTTATCAATGCCTTATAATGAAACCTCCAAATCATCAAATTTTTTACAATAAATCATACTTCAAACAAGGAATATTGAAAATTTCAAAAATTACAAAGCGATTTCGAAAAATCACATTCTTATTTAGCATGATAAAAAAATCAGGTCCTGAAAAGTACTGATGATCGATTGAGATTATCTAAAGTTACAGTGCTTCAAATATGATGGATAATTTTTGGGGTTATACGTCACGAGGGTCAACAGATTAGATGCTATTTGATCGATTCTTTTCAAATTTAAGTTATAATGGATCACCCCCAACATTTCTTCAATTTTTGCCTGTAGAAAAAAAAATGAACACAGCCTTGCAAATAATTTTGGTTTCTTGAATCTAAATATACATTTTCAGTATCTGAGAATGAAAAAAGTGTTTGAATTTTGAATGAGTAGAACACCTTGTATATTTCACCGTCAATGGAAAGATAACTCCAGCTCAATAGTTTTATCTGCAGTAATTCACAAACGAAAATGAGTATTCATCGACTTTTTCTATGATTTTTGTGATTATATTAATCGATTTGTTGCTTTTTAATGCTCATATCTTGAAAAATACGGATGATGAACAAAGTGACTGGTGTTTTTAGAAAAGTTATCCGAAGGTATTTTCTATGGTGAGGCTATACAGGGTATATCACGACGAGCTTACACTATCTCTATATCGAGAATCTGTCGGGAGAAATCCATGAAAATATCCATGCTCATATTTTAGAATACGCTCTCTTCATTTAAAATATTTTCAGCAATGTAGTGTTGCCGCTTCTGAGTGGCAACAATTTTGTTACTTCAAATAGAAAACCCTACATTTCATTGCATTTTTGGATTCTCCCTGAAGAGCTGATTTCATCGATACATCACACTTGGGGTCTATCGGAAATGATTACAGAGATATAGGGTGTTCAAAATCAAGATTTTTCAACTTTCAACTTCGTAGTACCACTCTGTATCGTATAGACGTAGGGGTCTGTACGTGTGACTATAGATGGCAGCGCCATACAGTGTGTGTCGCGATATCTGTGTATCCTACCTCAGAGCTTTGCCACAAGATGGCTACAACATGACTACAACTTCATGTTATACCCTGCATCTTCAAAATGTGTGATATTGTTTATGTCGAAACTATTCATTCAACAGGTAAGAATCAAAAGTTGAGATTGGGACATGTGAACCTTTTCGACCGATCATGAATAGTTTCGACACAAAAAACTCCCAAAGTTGAAAAATCTCGATTTTGAACACCCTATATCGCTGTAGCCTCTTTCGATAGACCTCAAGTGTGATACATCGATGAAATCAGCTCCTCAGGGAGAATCTAAAAATGCGATAAAATACAGGGTGTTCCATTTGAAATATCAACTGCATTGTCGAACATTTTTTAAATGAAGAGGGCGTATTTTAAAATATAAGCATGCACATTCTCATGTATTTCTCCCGACTGATTCTCGATATAAAGATAGTTAAAGCTCGTCGTGACATACCCTGTATACATATACGCAGTTTTGAAATAAATGCACTTTTTGCTGCTCCATGTATATTTTCGCAGTTACTGATGTATCTTGTTGATTGGAGAAGAATAGTTATTTAACCAACTAGTGTATTAATGAGGGCGATTAATGATCGAGATATTTTAACGTGCGAGCGAAGCAAGTGCGTTAATGTTCGAGATCATTAATCGCATTTCAATATACAAGTTGGTTACAAAATTTTTCCGTCGACTATATTTCTCATTTCTCCTGCAATGAAGAAAACTTGGTTCGCGAATTCATCATCCATCCGGAAACTGCTAAGAATCACCCAGTAGCCTTGTTACTGACATTAGTGTCATTTGACATTTGTCGAAATGATAAACATAGGAAATAAATTCCTTGTGTTAGAAAACAGGGATTAAAATCGTGTCAGAAACTTGGAAAGGCGAACTCGTTAACGGAAAATCGTCGATGAAATCCATATTTTCGATTTAAATGCAGATTCCGCTAGTTATAGCATAAACAATGAATGCACGCGGTGTATGTTTGGTTGCCTATAAAACAATCGTGCATTAATAGACAAATCGTTCATTAATAGGGGTCATTAATGAACGATTTCATATACATTAAACTTAGTCGTTAATACGAGGTCGACGGAAAAATATATTGTTTAACGAGCACGGAATGATAGTGATTTCCAACGAGAATGAAGTTTTCAGCATGAGCCATAGGCGAATGCTGCAATCATTCGAGTTGGACATCAGCATTCCGTGCGAGTTATGCACTATAATTTTTCTACGGCTATATAATAGATAACAGCGGCATTTTCGATTTCTTCGTCTTGTAGCCATCTGATTTCCTGTCAAGTAATGCTCATCTATTAGACAAAGCTGTCATTGCTTGAAATTTGACATTCCATGGGCGATGAGTTTTTTTTATAACACAAATTATAATAACACAATTAATTCATTGTGATACCGGGTGACCAGTTATATTCTGACCCATTTCAAATGCTCATATCTCTGAAACCATTCAAGTTATCGCTGTGCGGTTTGGACTAGTCTATTTTGATGTTTTCAAGTTTTTTTTGACGTGTTCATCTCCTCACTTGAACTTCCGGTTCTACCGGAAACAAACAAGCAATAATCCAGGTATAGGGCAACTTTTTTATTTCATTGAATCACCCTGTATATTTTTGCACATTCAGAAAGACTGGTCTTTTCTCTATCTAACAATGTATTACAAGTTATGTTCTCCTAGAAAACTATTAGAGTTATAACTCTTTGAAACAACTACTGCTTGTGGAATGGTTTAATGAGATTATGCAATGTTATCAAAGTTGCCCTATACCTGAATAATGGCTTGTTTGTTTCCGGTAGAACCGGAAGTTCAGGTGAGAAGGTGACCCAGTAAAAAAACTTGAAGAGTATCAAAATAGAGAAGTCCAAACCGCACAACGATAATTTGAATAGTTTCGGAGATATGAGCAGTTGAAATGGGTCAGAATATAACTGGTCACCCGGTATCAGATACGGAAATAAAATTGATAACATACAAAGTACTTCATTGATGTATGGAACACAGTAAAACAAGATCAATTTTGTGATATAGCCAGTAGAAAAAGATTGTTTTTCAATGTTTTTTTCTCAGACAAAAGTAAGAGATGTAGGTGGTGATTGTTTATACAATGTGTACACATGTCCCGACGTTCCGTCCCATCCGATCGACATCGAAAAAACCGTCTGGCAACACTGTGGCCGAAGTTCTATGAATGCAGTCTGTTTGTTTTCTTTCCAGTTACTTGCATTCCTGTTCGCCACCAATCATCCACGGAAATCTGACCTGCGATACCATTTTTATACAGCACAATGGCCTCGTCAAGATAGGATCAGGTAATTCATATTTTGAGAAAAAAAAAACAGTCACCCTAAAATTTTTCACAAAAATATGGAAAATTGGTATGTTCGAAGGGTAAACCGAATTGGTTTTTCGTCGGTTCTTTCGGCCGTATACGGTGGGAATCGGGGACGGCGAGTCGTTACGCGTCGTTCAGATTGTCGATGTTCAATTGTTTTTGACGCGGGACGCTTTCGGAAATGTTCGGGATACTTTTCGTTAACGATTTTTGATGATTTCACAATTATTGACGTGTAATATTTTTTGTTATCTCGATCGAATTGTATTGACGCTCCCTGTATTTTTGTTTTTGTTAATGACAAAAAATGTTACACCTGTACTTGTAATCCAAAGTACTCGACGCTCGATAAGTAATACCTCGTACTTTCGTTCGATTTTGGAATATGGTTATTTCCGGATACTATAACCAAATCTTTCTCAGTTTCTGGAAGTTCATTTCACAATCATTTGGGTGTGATTTGGTTCAATATGAGTTTGCCTCATTCAGCTTGTCAGGAAAAATTTTATGTTCGTTTTGTATTTCAAATCCTGTACTTACCAAAATAAAAAAGCAGTATTAATATTATTCCAGTTTTTTTGGGATTTTCTCTCTCTCAGATGATTTGTCCCAAAATGTCACTGCGTTTGAAGAATTTTTCTATTAGAGAGCCTAAAATAAAAATTCACTGGCTTGTCAGTGACAATTTGTATTGAAGAAGGTTTGGAGAAGAGAAATAAAGGTGTAAAGAAAAAATATCAAATTCTCACATATCTTTGAACGTTTCGGGAACGAATCTGCTCTTGATTTCAACATAAAAAATGGATTTTTTGTATGTCAAATTCGTATTTGTCTTGACAACTCTCAGTTCTCAGTGACAATTAGTGACGTTGGTACTCAAATGAGTTACAGGATGTTTTTATAAATTAATCTTGAATTCGCCATTTTCAGGTAGTGAATACCATGTTCTATCTATATCAACTGAACAGGAAGCAATGCTATTATCTCCGTTCAGAAGAATGCCAGCAGATCCCTTGATTTTTCTCTGCTGGTTATCTTCTTTTCCAATGATTATAATATTATTCCACTCTGCCATATGTTGTCCATCTTCAGTAAGGATATGTTCAGCTAGTTTCGATTTATCATTGAGAACTGAGAAGTGTCAAGACAAATACGAATTTGTCATATGGAAAATCCATATTTTATGTTGAAAACGGGAGCAGATTCGCTCCGGAAACGTTCAGAGATAAGTGAAAGTTTGGTATTCTTTCTATATACTTTTATTTCTCATCCCCAAACCTTTTTCAATACAAATTGTCACTGACAAGCTAGTGAATTTTTCTTTCAGGCTCTCTGATAGTAAAATCCTTTAAACGCAGTGACATTTTGGGGCAAAACATCTGATTTTTCCTCACAACACGTATATTGAAATGATATTCATATTTTTATTGTATCGAGACGAGGAGAGAAAATCCCAAAAAAATATTAAATAATGAATGTACCACCTCTTCGATTAACCTACAGACAGTATTCAGTATCAATATATTTAGTTTGTTTTCTGTTAGTAATCTCTCCAATTAATAACATCGACAGTATTGTATCAGATGGGGGTATGGTCTAATTTTAGTGAAATTCATATATTCATCGTTTGTCATTCACAAAAATGTCAGAACGACTTATAAGTTCAACTGAAAATAACCCATTCTTCAAAATCGTATGCACTGTTTTTGAATTTTTTGGCTAGACGATGAAAATATATAGACTCTTAAGCCACAACTGAAAGTCAAGAGTCTATCAATAATTGGAATCATAAGGGCTGAGACACCTTTCACTATTTTGCTTATTTCAGCAAATATGGTAAATCTTCGCCAAAGTCATAGTGACGTTATAGGTCGATAGATTGATGGATCAAGAAATATTGACTGAAATCAGCAATAGGAAAGACAAATTCCTCTGAGATTGATTGATTCATTTATTTATTCATTGTATTCTACAGTATAAAAAAAATACCAATGAATGATTTCATTCAATGTGAATTGACTATATAGATATATGCTAGCCTATATCTAGGATAGGGCCCTAATTAATTGATCAAACTCAACCCGTATATAAAAATAAAAGTTTAGATACATTTCCTTAAGAAATTATTTCAAAAAATCCCAATCTAAATATTGATTATTTCAATATTATAATATGCATTATAGGAAAAAAAAATTACCAAAGACCACAGGAAGATTTCAAAGAGCTACAGATAAACCGCATATTTGGAAATTAAATACCTGTTAATAATAATGGTAATAATAATAATAGTAAAGTTGAAAATTATTATAATAATCATTCAATAAATTCAGTCAATATCAATCGAGAGATTCAATTTTCTTTTCGAATTGATACTTACTTCCGAGGTTAGAAATATATAGGAAGTATTTATACCAATATCTTCCTTACAGATAGCATAATGCCATTTTATGAGAATGAATCATCACCTCAATGAGGTTTCTTTCAGAGAGCATCGATTTATACAAGTTAAACAGCTGAATTTGTTATCATAAAGACTAAAATACAGATATAACCTCTGAAAGTTTCTCAAAACATTGATCCACTTATTCACCTGGACCGATTGACGATGCTTACCAGGTGAATCAAGCAACACAACATTACCTCATCACATTTCATTTCTGTGAATGTGCCAATTTCAGTTGAAATTTTGATTTTTTGAAAGATATGATGTTTACCAGTAAATCACATCGACTTAGGTCACTTGGTGTTTGGAAGTTAGATATGTGACAGGTCCTAAATGCATAGGCTGGAGTGAAACCAGTTCAATCTGGAAAAGGGATGAGCTTTGGTCGGTTAGTAGGTAGATAACCATCAAGGTTAGTAGAATATCACTTCTAGACTAACTTAGGGTGTACATTATATTTCCCAAACTTAAACTTCAGAATGGGTATGTGCTGAACACCTGAGAATTATACAAACAAAACCTAATGATATTTGACGAAAATTCTTCTGATATAAGTACTTATTTCCTTCAACTATTCAGCAATATGGACTTGATGTAGTGAACTCACTAATGCAATAATCGATCAGGCATTCTAGTTGAAAATACTTACTATCTTCCGAAAATCATCTCATCGACATATTGGTTCATACTACTAATAATAAAAACAGGCTGATGATCAGTCTGAAAAATAATGTATCTAAGAAAAACTAAAATGGCGCCCCATCTTTGCTGTTGTAAAACTATAAAAGTGGAGCATACACTCATCTGATATTTTACACTGAATATTCAATTTATTTCGACTTATGAAGTTTTGAAATCATTCAAGATATGAATCCTGGTGAATAATGATTTATTTCATGAAACATCAATATCATTAGAGAAATATTGATCTGTCTTTCGTTCATTGTACTCAGAGTTTCATGAATGAAAAATGTGAAGACAAGCTAATTGATGAACTGAGCTTCCAAAAGACAAAACAAGAGGGTGAATCGGTTATAGTATTTGGCAGTTGCAATGTTTCAATTTGGAACTAAATTATAAGGTGTTAGGTATCCAGTATTGACCAAATTAATTTGATATGTTTTTATGATATATCTCAAGAATCTCGTGTACTTTTTTTCACTTCAAAATATCCGTTTACCAAAATCAACGGTCCTTCGTGTCAAAAACTTTGTGAATGTCGTCACTGCTGAACCAGGCATACAGGATGTGTCTTGCAAGGTGGGCGCTGATCTGTGCTCAAGCGTTACGCGCATGTAAGGTAAATTTGTAAGGTAATATCTTACACCCGTTACTTTACGCTTGAGAACCGATATTCTGTAAAGCGTTTGCCTCCATTTTGCATCCTAATCATTCTCGAAAAAGAAAGGAAGAGAATTGAAAATGAAGAGAATATTTGGTTCACTGAATTTATTTTGTGTTTTTCGTTGTGATGTTTCGAGAATGGTTCGATGACTTGCTTGTCGTCGATTTTTGCGTATCGGCACCTGTCTTTCAGCTAAAAACTCGTTACTAATTTTGATTTTCGTTTCCTCTTTAGTGGCTCCTGATTCGATAAATCATCATGTTAAAACCTGCCAGGACAATTTCAAAAATATGCATTTCGTCGCTCCAGAACATCCCAGTAAGTATGAAGAGCTAGATAGTCAGTAGAATGTGTAAGTTTTATTAGGGTGCCTCTTTGACGTTTTACGCCTTTCGAGAAACTGAAGAAAGACACCTTGTCTCAACTTCAGATCTGAAGAGAAAGAGGTTTGAAAGAAAAAAATCATAAATTGTGATCAATCAAATGTGACTTTGTTAAGGCTGCGTTCAAGAATATACTCCGAGTAAGGATTTTGCAGAGGTCGTTTCACTAGCTCGGACAGGAGCAAGTAAAGTTCTGAATGGTCCATTTGGTTGAATGGTGCTATTGAGAAAGCTATTCCAAAGGCAATCATCAAATCATTGATGCAAACCAAATCTCAAGAATGGTAGATCAATTCGCCAGGAATGAGTCAGGCAAAGAAGTTTATTAAAGAACCATCGCCAATGAGCAAATCTCTCAAGCTGCAAAAAATCCAGAGACTAGCATGTCTTGGGATCACAGAGGCTATGCATACGTGCCTTCCTGTAGCAATGGGAGCTATGCTTGATCTACTACCCTTGCATATTTTATCAAGAGTTCTGCAGCTCTCAGTGCATACAGACTGAATTCCACTGAATTGGCCAGACCAGGTGATGTCATTGGTCACATGGTCATTCTACAAGTAGTACAAATGGAATCTGTAACCAAACCATCGGACTTGATGCCAGCCAGGCTCAGTTTTGATCCTGCCTTTGAGGTGGTTATAAAAAGTCGCCCTAGGTACGGTTCCGCTGAGCCTCAGCTGGACAGAGGGTCCCTTGTTTGGTACACCGATGGTTCGAATGGTATATGGACATGGATGTGCCAACACATGTATCTGGTAAGACAGCCAAGCTGCACTAAAAGCCCTAAAATCATTTGTTTCCACATCAAAGATTACATGGGACTGCTTTGAAACACTCATGCAACTGGGAAAGGACAACAAAATCACATTTATGTGGGTTCCAGGGCATGAAGGAATCAAAGGAAATGAGGCAGTTGATACTAAAATACATGTCATCAACCTATGCGCCCAAAGGTGCTTGAGCAAAGGTCTGGAGTGCCAACATATGTATCTGGTAAGACAGCCAAGCTGCACTAAAAGCCCTAAAATCATTTGTTTCCACATCAAAGCTTACATGGGACTGCTTTGAAACACTCATGCAACTGGAAAAGGACAACAAAGTCACACTTATGTGGGTTCCAGGGCATGAAGGAATCAAAGGAAATGAGGCAGTTGATCGATCGCCTTGCAAAGAAAGGTGCAGCATCTGCACTTTTTGGCCCTGAGCCTTTTTGTGAGACAAGCAAATGTCACCTAAAGGGAGAACTCAGGAAATGGGAAGAAATTGAAAAGTCCTCCTACTGGAGAGCAACTCCAGGTCAACGACAAGCGAAAAGGTTCATCAACCATTCGCAGAACCGAGCCAATGAGCTACTCAGCCTCAGCAAACCAGAGCTAAAGCTTATCACAGGCTTTCTCTCAGGACACTGCCCTCTGAGGTACCACCTCAAAAATATGGGCCTGGCGGAGACTGACACTTGCCGCTTTTGCAACAATGCGACCGAAACCGCAGAACACATACTTTGCTCATGTAAAGTATTAGTCCGCCATAGGCTGAATCACCTAGAACAGGTCTATCTCACACCTGCTGAGGTGGAAAATTCAGACCCAATAGATCTGTAAAGGTCGCGGTGTGGAGGCCGATGGCCCATTCTAATTCAATCGAAGTATATTGGATATTCCAAGACTTTCTTGAATTGAATTATATAATTCTGAGACCTTCCCAAATCAACTCATTACATATTAATATGGACAGGGATACAGATAAACCCATTTTATTTCATTATCCAATAAAGCTATTGATTATTTTGTGGTCATTCATCATGTGACAACAATTTGAACCCTCCGTTTTTCAAGCAACAGTAATTGACATTCATAAAAGTCATTACATTAGACAAATGTCACCTAATTTGACAGTAGTTGATGGCAATAAATACCATAAATTGCTTCACTGTTACCTAATGAAATGTGGTGAATTTTGAGTAACCATCAATTATATAAATTCATAATTAGGTGATAACACTGTACTCTTACCCTACTCAGAGGAGTGGGTTTTTCAGCCTGAAGAGTGTAAAATATCATAGATGTTAGAGGCACTCTAAATTAGGTTTCATCCGTTGTCTCCTCGAAACATGCATTATCGCATTTTTTGATGCATGCGAATTAATATAATTTCGTATGGAATCTGTCAAGATCCTTGTAAATATTTCAATATAATGAGAATCCATTCGTACCAGAAGGAAATAGAATTTAAATAGCAATCGATTTTTTCAGGAATTAATTGGGGTTCTTCTAGAATATATAATTTACTGTCAAATGTTCGATAGATTTCATCCAGTTGACTGCGAATTATTATGCATGAGTCGATTTGTAGAACAATTGACCTTATTCAATAGCTATAGTTTTCATTTCCAGTGTACTCAGATTGGCAACAATCTATGATTAGCGTCATTGATGTCAATGTCAACTGATATTACTGTCAATGATAGAAAAGTATTTTTTCAAAAATAATATAGCGAGAGGGCGCTTTTACCATCATGTTTATGCAGACACGCCTTCGATCTTTTTGGGCTCATTCAGAATCTCAATAGGCTACTGAAGTTGTATGGAGCTTTTCATGTTGAACAAATACACTGTGTTGTGACATATTATTCAAGTATGTTTTTGTTGCAAATCAACAGTCAATGCGCTGTTCAAAGTTGTTGAAGATTATGGCCTGATTTGGCCATGCTAGTACTATTGTTGTTGAACAGTTCTGGACATGATTTTGAACTGTTACTTCATTATTAACATTTCATTCCCCTTTGAGCATTTTGGGTGATTTGTAGTTGTCAATAGACAGTCACTCCCATTACTCACCGAGATGGAAATTTGTCAGTTCTGGAGTATTTCAGATAAATGATCATACAAAGTCTCTTTTTTTTCCAAATGAAAAATCATTGGAGATTCTCTTTCATTAACACCTAAATAAATAACTATGTTTACGTTGAAAAGCCTTATTCCAAAAACAAGAGGCGTAGTGTGTCAAGCATTTATTCATAGATTATGATTCATACTTCAATGTTAATTTCGAATAAACATCAAGAAAAAGAATGTAATTTGACTGAATTTCGAAAGGAATCCTCATTGGCGATGAATCAGAATTTATACATGTTTCATCAAAGATTAATCAAAGTGCTCCGTCTTTTTGCAATTTATGTCACAGTATCGCCATATTGATTTTAGACAAAAATGTTGGCATTTTTCGTTCTATCAAATAACGTAAAATATCTAGAGGGTTCCATTGAAGCCTCTCGACCTAGGTCTATTTCTGGTAAAACCGGAAGTGATTCAATTGTTTCTTCATGGAAAATATGAGTTTCGAGGAACTATAATCTTCGATCCAAATGTGAAAATTCTCGCATAAAAAACAACAGAATGACTCCGTGTCCAATGATTTCGTTATCACCCGCTATCCATTTAGTCGAGAAAATCCACGTTTCCGCTACTTTGCAGGCACCATGGGCCCCCCCGTCGACGTCTACTCCTTCGGCATGTGCGCCCTAGAGATGGCCGCCCTGGAAATAGTCGGCAACGGCGACAGCGGTGCCAAAGTGAGCGAGGAGAACGTGCGCAAGACGATCGACTCGCTGGAGGACGCGGAGCAGCGCGACCTCATCGCCAGGTGTCTGGCCCAAAGGGCGGAAGACAGGCCCACGGCGAAGGAGCTGCTCTTCCATCCGCTGCTCTTCGAGGTGCACGGGTTGAGGCTGTTGGCCGCCCATTCGCTCATCAAGAAGTCGGGTAAGATCTCGGACTGAATAAACATTAGATAGACACCGCCATTCGTTTTTAAAACATCGAAACGTTTACGCCGACAATCCTGAACGCCAAACAAGGATAACGGAATGGTATCGCGAATGGTGTGGTAATAACTGACACTTGTACAACTAAATAACAATATATAGACACCACGGTCATTCATAAATCATCAAACATGGATAACTGAATGAATGAATTCGTGAATGGTGGGGATGAGGATAATAACAGACACTTATACATTTGCGGGTGAGTGCTCAGACTAAATATTGTCGCAACTCAGATGGTTCTAGTAGGTTATATGGCATTATGGAGTACAAACGGCGCTTCCACCACCCTCCTATAGGTCGTGACTTATCTACTCGCTTGGCTTTTTGGCGAGAGGTTTTGATCATTTCACCACCAAACCATATTCATCCCCAAGTAAAGAGACCAGACAGTTTTTATATAAAATTAACATTTATTGATTTAATGAAGAGGTCATGAATAAATGCTGCTACATGGCAGGTTAGCAAAGAAAAAGAACATAATGGCTTGCCAAATAATCACAACGTAAAACAACACTTGGAAAAAAACAGTACTCACATTATAACGTCTAGCAGAGGGTCGACCAACAGGCTTGAAGTAGGGGAGACTGCGAACATTTTCAATTGATAATTACTAATGACTTGTGTTGATATTGAATGATTGGCTTATCGACTCGGGTACTATTTATATTCGGAATCGATGCTAGGTTCGCAATTTTCCTCAATACTCAATACTACTCACCTAGGTATTATCGCACGGTAAGCGGTTTTTGCAAATTTTAAAGGAACTGACGTCTATGAACTCCGCTGACCTGATCGAAACTACAATGTACTGAATGTTTTAATTTGGAGAAGTTAATTTATGATAAAAGATCTTGAAATGAACGAGAGTTTGAGTGATGTTAATTCATAGGCATTTTTACTTCTTGACAATAGATGCTCTTCCATCCATAACTCTTCGAGGTGCACGGGTTGAGGCCATTCGTTCATAAAACATCAAAAAGTTTACGCCGACAATCCTGAACGCCAAAACGGATCAATGAATGGAATCGCGAATGGTGGGGTAATAACTGACACTTGTACATTTACGGCTGAGTGTTCATTCATAAATAATCAAAAAGTATACGCCGACAATCCTATACGCCAAACACTGATACATGAAAATTATTGAATGAAATCGCGAATTTTGTGGAATTAATTGAGCGAACAACTCGCTGAAGGACGCTGAACAGTGCGACATCAAAGGGAGGTGTTTGGGCAAAAGGGTAAAGGACAGGAGCTGCTCTGTCTATTTGAAGTTGATTGAAAACTACTGAAAAAATGGATTTCATTCAATGAATCAGCAAAATATCAAGCAAACTGAAGATAACAATTATAAATAGAGCAATGGAATTTTGTTTCTAAAAGTGTAATCGACTGGCTGCACTAGTACTTTTTTTAAATATATTTTATAACTGACGTGTATATCCATTTTCGGATGGCTACTGTATGCTAATACGAATCAACATTATTATTATTATCACACATTTAATTACGATTTTTGTCATGCGTGTGTGTTCGGCTGGTATGCCCTAGCGCAGTACTACCAATATTTCTATTTGGCTTAACAGTCACTATGCTCATGGTGCTCGCTGCTCATTCTAAAATTTTCAGACAATATTTTTGACGGTGCTAGAGTCACCGGCTAAAAGATGTTGAAGGTTTGTAGGTGTTTATTGACATATTTGTGTTCAGATTTCGTAAATGAATGTACTGAAAATATTAACAATAGATTCCCCATTGTCAAGTAGCAGTGATAGTAACCATGTAGATAGCGTTAATGATATTTTTGAATTCATAGAATCAAAAAAGGATGAAAATATTCCAATACTCAGGTATTGGTAGTAAATGAAAAAATCAGATTATTCTATACACTATCAAAAGGTCTAACATGTCCCAAACAACTATTATTCTCATTGTAAACAAAATCTTCAAATATAGATAGATAAATATCCTTTATTAGTTCCTTCAAAAAACAAGGAGCAGAATATAATATGTCTTTTGAGAATAAAAGCATTGCTGTCAAATTTTCAAATACTAGTGGATTTCAGGAAATGAAACCGAAAAAACGAACGTAAGTTTGCTATTTCGGTGTAATATTTTTTACAATTATATCGAACTATTCCATGTATGGAAATTCTTGAGCATGAGTTATGACAAGTTCAGCAAGTTATGACATATCACAAGGTTGTTCTCAAAAATATTCAAAATAAATAGAAATCATCAGTGTGAAGATTCTTGATAAAATATTGATGAGAAGAATCGGTTCACTTTCCGTTACCTCCAGTTTGAATCTATGAATCAATATTTTTGTTGTTTGCGTTTCCATTTCTAAAAGGCAAAACGCCACCTAACGGCAACAAACGTATTCAGCACGTAATCATCATTCATATCATTACAGATTCCTTCCTTCGTGTTCGTTTCTCTGATATGTAATTACTCGATTACAGATTCCTAAATTATCTCGACGAATGCTTCAATGTCGGTTGTCATGGATAGATGGTGTTGGGAAATTATTTTGGAAACTTGACGAGAATAAATAATTCGTTATTGGTCGTTAGAAATATAAAAATACATTGGATAATCTTGTATTAAAAAGATCTGAATTTCAAGTATAGATACCTTTATCTGAAATGTCAAAGTCTTTCATAACAGTATTTGATAGGCTGTAATTATATTTATTTAATACGCGAGTGGAAGACTTAACTTTCTATGACTATTACAGGGACGGTTTCATTAAGAATTTGGGTAATAATAACGACCTCAATCACTTCATCGAAAGTTAGTGGTATAAACTTCATCATCGTCCACTATCAGAATTACCGGAATTACCAGAATTCATTTTCATTGACTAGCCAATAGAGGCAGCCTGTTCAGTTTGTGCATTCCATTAAGATTAAGATGGTTCTTGTATAAACTTTGAGAGTGCCTATCTCAAACTTTCTGGTGAATCTTATACTATTTTACTGACAATTATTAATAACGATATGTAAAGATGGTGATTGCAGTACAAGACAAGTCTGTGATGAGTACTCTCTCATTAACATTATCATCTAAATCTAAGATCTTGATCATAAAACGTTCGATTAAATCATAAATCCATATCATTCCTGACAATTTCAAATATATTTATCTTCAAAAATATGTTATTATGATATATCAAATACTTTAATCAGTATGTTATCAGACTTCAAAAATAGTATAGTGATGTCATGTTCTTCGATTTTGAGAAAGAATTTATTGATGAAGATTGAAAAATAATACCGAGGGTTCAGATATAGCCATGTGAATTTTGTTACGAAAAATCAAATTGATAATGGTGCTAGTAGGGATGAAATCTTTGAAATGATTGATAAATTTCATACTTGCATGTATAGGATATATTGTCATTATCGAATTCTTCACCTATGCATATAGCTTCCCAGATACTAACAATTTACAATTTGGCTAGTAAGCTCTAATAATATTTGTCCTCTCTCAGTGGGCGCAGATAATTTGAAGTATTTAATTTTTTTAGACTTCAATTCAAAAGGTACATCAAGAGTTACTATGTTTCGGATAAAAATCATCATATTTCATTTAACGCCATCTAAAATTTTAACATTTCATTTTTCAAATCAGTTATGATTTCTTTATACCCAAGTTCGATAATCTGCCTGGTATTAGAGACAGGAAAGTTGGCGTTTTCTTTTTCAAATATTTCTCGTGGTGTATTGAAAAATATATATATTTTTCTCCAAATGACATTGAAGGTGGCTTCTCCATGACACTTACAACCGGTTCCATGAATGTGGTCACAAAGTATCTTTACAAAAAGTCGACTATCAAAAAGTCCAATCTAATGTCATCGAAAAGCGAAAGCAAAAAAGCTTGAATGCAATTCATGCCTAGCGTCATATCATTGAGAATAAAGAAACTCATGGATGAAGAGAGCCAGTTCAGAAAAATATTGACAGAACAGAAGAAGAAGATCATAAAGAAAAAATGGAATTGTTATTATTTGTTAATTAGAAATTTTAATCAAGAGAGAAGAGCTGAATCAAATAAATGAAAATGATGCATCAAATGAAAACAAGGTTTAATATAATATTTGTTAATGAAATGGGTTTGCATAAATTGGCGAAATGTTCTGTGTTAATTAATAACTGAGCATTCAATGCTGCCTTTTTATTAAGAATATCAGCTGCATTGTTCACATTATTTTCTTTCTTTTTATTTGTAGGATGAGATATCAGAGGTACAATTTTCTGTAGGCTTAGTCAATCGAAATCTCTGAACGAATTCTATATCATCATATTTTTGGAGACACTTTTGCTTTTCTATGTATATTTTCTCTTTCTAGAGAACCAGTTTATTCTCGTCTTCACTTTCTGACGGTGAACTACTACTTCTATCACTAGAACTTTCTATTGAATGATTTTTTCTGATCAAATACTTTGGAAATGTCAATTGTTACATTCAATGTCATGTGAAAATGATAATTATAAAGTCGACTTTAACTTTAAAAATGACAATATTTGAGGCTAAATAAAAAGAGAGTTCACCTTTGCTGCCTGATAACAGCCGGTTCCATAATCAACTCAATCCTCTTCATTCGTATCCTTTATGTGGAGCATCTGATTCCATAATTCATTTTTGAAGGAATTTTAACAAGAAAGGAACTCTATCGGATAAGAATTGAAGCAATTCAATTATGTAGACGGTACTTCGCACTGAATAATGTGTTAGACAAAGACAAATTAATACCAGAAACGCTGTGTTAGACAAAGATGAGTATCTCCATACCTTTCATAAACATTTTTTTCATTGAAGTACAAATTCGAAGTAATTATGATACACCATCATATCAAGGGGATCGAAACAATAGGAAAATAACATGAAAAATCCAGGTCCGGTTTAAAAAAAATAAAGTTGATGATGGCCGCTCGAAGAAGAAACGTTGGTTTTCCAATTTGACAATTCCATTTCGTAGAGGGGAAGAAGTGACAATGATGAAGTGACATTTATCTTGAAATATCTGAGTTATAAATAAACACTATTTTGCATATTTTCCTTTTTACCGGATATCTCCGGAAATAATTGAAATTCTTTCAATTTCAAGGCAGCATTTTGTTGAGCATGAGATGGTGCAAGTTTGGCTGAAAATGAATTTATTCAGTACTTTATGAAAGCACTGTATATCTATCATGTTAATCGATATTATACGTCTATTATGGCAAAGTTTACTAAATCAAAAATATATATTATGGTCTCATCGAAATCCCCCGGTGCGTATCGTTTCTGTGAGTTTCAATAATTATTTTCTTGAGTATTGTATTCTGAAGTACCGCCACGTGTTGTTTTCCAATTGTGATAAGAAATATCCATTTTTTTTTTCTTTGTAATCTCTATTAAACCAAGCTGTCTGGAGAAAAATATCTATTTCGTATATGACCTTATTTATTACCAATTTGTATCTTATATCTTTTCAATTTTAACGAGCTGATATCAATTGTTGATAACCTTATGGAATGTTTTTCTGAAAATTTTCCGTAAATTTCAAGAGATTTCAGACAGATTATTCTCAGATTAGTTTCCTTGTATTATAATAATATATTCGTGACATGCCAAACTCAACGCCAAGTTATTTACTTATCGCTCAGCGAACGATGAATAAAAAGACATATACACAAATTTGTGTCTGACAAAATGCCCAAGGGGGTTTGAATTGTGCCAGGTACGTCTAACCACCTGTGGACTGGTTTCGGACTACTGGCCTTCATCAGTTATAAAATATAAGGGTGAAACTATATTCATCATGCGATGGGTTTTTTTCGAAAAATTTTTCTCGTACCTACGTAATTTTGTCTGAAAAACACGAATTTCATAATGAAAATGTGAACAAACCATTATTTATTAAGATATACTAGCGTTTAAAGACAGGACGCATCAAATATTCCCAACGAGTCGGGCAGAAGCAAGTCTACAGGAAAAAACCACTGAAATAGTGAATCACTATCAACCTCAATAGTAAATGAAATGCATCCACATTATTTTTTTCCGCATCTAAAATATTGCCGTGTGACTCGCTAGCGGTGAGCGTATTAATTTTTTTTGTACAAATGTTCGGAAGAAACACAATGGCCAAGAGAACAACGTATATGCTTATGGATTGAAAGGTCGCAGGTTGGAATCCTCTGAAACATCTACTTTCTTTTTTTTCTAAGTGATTGACTGAAAAAAAATACTGGAGACACATTCAATGTTGAGGCCGATAGTGATTAGTTATTTAGACTTACTTCCTCACGGCTCGCTCGCAATATTTGATGTGTCCTGTCTCTAGACGCTAGTATATCTCATGAGTTATAATGTCCTATCATCTGTACCCTGACCCTGTACGCAAGATGCACTAACATCATTATTGAGATACCTTGAGAAATCCTCGAAATTACCCAAAACCCCGAAATTTCTCTGAATTATCGTCGTCCAGAAACTGTACAAGAAGTTGAACTGAAATTTACAAAAAAATCTCCGAAATTTCCCAAAAAGCGTGTTTGATTAGTTTTTCAAACTACCATTTATTTATTATTCCAAATTTTTTGGGATTTTCTCTCCTCGTTTCTATAAAATAAAAATATGAATATTATTTCAATATACGTGTAGTAAGGACAAATCAGATGATTTGCCCCAAAATGTCACTGCGTTTAAAGAATTTTCCTATCAGAGAGCCTAAAAGAAAAATTCACTAGCTTGTCAGTGACAATTTTATAGAAACGAGGAGAGAAAATCCCAAAAAATTTGGAATAATGAATATACCACCTCCTCGATTAACCTACAGACAGTATTTACCATTTATTTCATCTAATTTTTAGTTCACTTGAATTTCCCAATTTTGACGAAAGAATCATAATATCCGACTCCTAAAACGCCAGATGGAAACTTTGATAACTCGTCCGCAATATTGGAACTACCATCTCGAATTCCATGTTTTTGACGAAGGAATCATAATTTTTGATCCCGAAAAAGTCCACTTATCCGCCATCTTGAATTTTGACGAAAGAATCATAATCTCCCACCCCGAGAAGCACCAGATACCAAATTTTAATAAAATCGGGCCCTAATTACAAAATCCGACATTTTGGATCCGCCATCTTGAATTTCTCAATTTTGACGAAGGAATCATAATCCCCGATCACGAAAACCCCTAGGTACCAATTTTTAAAAGAATCGGATTATAATTACAAAACTCGTACGCCATATCGATTCCGCCATCTTGAATTTCCTAATTCCGATCGAATTTTCAAATTCTGACGAAAGAATCATAATCTCCGACCCCGAAAACCCCCAGATGCCAATTTTGAATAGAATCATATCAGATACAAAATTCCAGGTTGATATTTTGATTCAATATATGACGTTCTCGTATTCTTTCCAGCCAATATTTCGGAAACGATAACGGACGAACTGATGCAAAGGTGGTACGGTCCTGACGTCATCGTCGCCGAGGTGAACTGGAGGAGTGGCGAAAAGATCCAGATGAAGATGGCCGACGTCGCCGTCAACGAAAAGTTGGAAAAATTCGTCGAAGATGTCAAGTGAGTTTTATAAACAATCACAATTTCACGAAGTATCTGAAACAATGATAATCAAATTGTGCATATTCAACACCCCGTATCTTCTAACCGGACCAGTATTCATGGAAACTTTTTTTTCTTATTTTAGTGTTCTAACTGTTGAGATTTCCCAATGATCTCTTGAATTATTGAATCGAGCATTTTTGTATGATTTTCGTATGCACGCGATTCAGTGACAAATCTTCCTGTAATGTAATAAAATCCGTGACCTTGAAAAAATATACCATTTTGTTTCAATTAATAGGCACCTCAAATCAACATGTTGAATCACTTGAAAATTGATTATGCATATCAATAATTGGTATAATATGTAAAACATATTCGATTGTAGAAGTTGATGAATTATCCTTTATTATCTTCGCTTTTTCTCCCTTAAAATGAATTTGGTCGGTATAATTTGTAAATTACGAAAATTAAGTATAATAGGTATCTCTCACAACTCAACCATCTCCATACACAGGGAAGAAAGTCATACTTATGTGGATTCCTAGCCATGTTGGTATGAAAGGAAACGAAAATGCAGATGTTGCCGCAAGGCTAGCAACTGATAATGACACTGATGAAAACATCCCTATCTCTCCCAAAAATTGTAAAAATTACTTGAAAAAGGAAATATCGAAGAAATGGAGGAATGAGTGGATGAACAACGAATCAAAATTGAAACATGTCAAACCAGACACTGCATACATAAGATATCCACATGAACTCACAAGGGAAGATCAAGTCATCATTACCAGGCTCAGAATAGGTCACGCTAGAACAAACTCTAGTTTAATGCTAACAAGGGAAAGACAACCCAGATGTGAGACCTGTCGAACCCTATTGACGGTCGAACATATAATGCTACACTGTCAGCAGCATGAAAACGCTCGTAGAGACCATAAGCTTCCTAAAGTGAGAGAGACTGCTTGAGCAATGAAAGAATGAGAGATGTTATAGAATTCTTGAAAACAATAGGTTTATATAACGAAATCTAGAAAAAAAAAGTTAGAATCAAAGGCAAATGACCTAGCTGTCGATGCCTTAATCAATGAAAAAAAAATAGGTATAATGTCAATGAGTAAATATCATCAATTTGGATATTATTTGATATTTTCAACATTTTCAGTCCATCACTTGCAGGAATTTCGTTTAATTTCCATGAATGAATGAATTAATGATCGATCATTCGTACACATCTGAAGATAAGTGCATACCTTGGAATTATGGTGTACAGTCATGTGGGATTCCATTGGAATTCCGTGGAATTCCGGCGGGATTCCAGTGGGATTCCGTGGGATTCCTGTGGAGTTCCAGTTGGATTTCAGTGGGATTCCAGTAGGAGTCCGTGGGATTTCGGGTGGATTCCATGGGATTCTAGGGATTCTGGTGTATACATTTTTCGAAGGTGGTTTACCTCTCGGTGCATACATATACAACACGCTATTCGGCATTATTAGTTGGTTTTTCACAGAAGTCCCAAATAATATGTGTCAGTTGTACAGAATACACAGCAGGCAATGTAAATATAGGAACCCATCACAGCTTTAAGGTACTATTCCAAACCATTTGCTCCGATATAATAATTCAGGTAATTCTCACACTGTCAATTCAACTACCAAAGAAACTTTTTACAAGAAAAATTCCTGCAAAAAAAATCCTCATTGAAGTACAAGTTATCATTGGATATTATGTATAAAAAAAGAGATAGTCATCTCTCAGTGCCCCTGTCACATTTTGGTAGCTTGAAGCAAGTAAGGGAGGCCTTTTCAGCAACCTGTCTTGGTCAGAAAGTCGAACTGTCACTACTTTTCAATGTTGATATTCAAACTACTAGTAAGTGCCTAGAAAGAGAAGAATCAAGGTTGGTAATTCGTGACGTATTCCCATCGAAAATTCCATTTCGGAGTCATAGAAATATAATATAGTCTACAACTGCCTTCCAGTAAATTCACCAATCCAGCTGTGAATCATAGATATATTTCTAAGATCCCAACATGAAATATTGGATGCGATTACATCACGAATTACCGCTTTTTCTTTTCTGATCGATGCAGCTTTTCTCTAGAAATAAGCAATTCTACAAAACTTGAGAAGAATTTAGTAAGATCAGCTGATGGTTGGTGAAATATTTCGCTACGGCATGCTACATGATGAACCAATTCAGTATTGGAATTCAATTAATGGAATGAAGAGAAATGCTGAATGAAAACGTATTTTTACCTGTCAAATTCTAAGATCCAAAATGTTTTCGATAACGAGAGACAGACACCATATCGATGGTCCTTTCTCACTTTTATGATACTTTCATGCTACTCTCAATGCTTTTTACTAGACGGTAAGGCAAGAGCGCATCTAGGACTTCAAATCTTGTGTCACAGCATAAGGGTTGTTACTGTTGAATATTCTGCATTCTTAATAAAATATGTAAAATTTGAATCGGTTTAATATAGGTATCAAATTATATAAATAATATTGGAACATTTCTATATCAAAGTGACCGAATACTATTCAGGAACTGAATAGAATATCTTCAATGGCAGTCAATATTGAACATAATTTGATATTTCACGATCCAGTTCCATAACACATGTGAGCTTTGGCATTTCAAAATATATTTTCGATTTACATGTAAATAAATGTGACATTTAACAAGAAATTTATGTGTAAATTTTGTCTATAGTGAGTTATAGAAATCACTCCTTCAAAATCACAATAGTTATGGCTTCATAATTCAGCGATGATGATTGAGATAAAACACCACATTGCTACCGAACAAAATTTGAGATCACTCAATTTGCTTTATTTACTGAGGTGTTCCAGAGGATGATTTTCAATTTATACTGATTACTGTTCCACATTTTTTTTAGAAATATTTACTTATAATCTTGTCAAATTACCGCGTCAGTTGAAGGATAAGAAAATCAAATATTGACCTAAATAAATGAAAAGAAAATAGAAACAAACGCGAACAGGGAGTATGAAATCATTTTGTTTATTAATAGAATGTACAAGGAGGGTTTGTTTGATATTCCAATATAATTTCCTAGATTTTCATAATCATAGTTATTTTTTGTTAATAAATAATCTGTTAGGGAGAAAAGTTATTTTTATTATTAATTCATAGTACTCGGTTCCACAAAATGTCTATTCTGCTAAATATGCTCACATAATTACAAAATATTTTTCCATTCCAATAATGAACCAATTCTGTTTGAGAATAATCACATACATAATAAATATTTTCAAGATGAATTATCTAATTTATTCTATGCTAAATTCGTTTTATTCATAACAAAGTAGTGTGATGGATCTGCCAACTTTGAATAAGTCTACCAAATACATTTGGCACACAATTATTCGACTTATCCCCGTAATACAATATCTCCGTCTCTCTTACTCTCTCTTTATCATCTTCCCCCTCTTATCAGCAATAAAAGCCTGGCAAAGGTATCAACTCAACTCAAATTCGTTCCGACTCGTATCTGGATGAGAGATTTCCCAATTTGTGATAATCATACCCGCTATCTGTGGTGCAATTTCGAAAGTTAAGTTGTGTTTGTTTTCTGTTGGAAAAACAAAATGGTGAATCTTGACGTATTATTTTATCAGTTGGCTTCATTATCATCATCCGATAAGTTGAGCCGGTAAGTCCATGTTTAGATAACTAAAAATATATTTTTATGATTTTTGGCAGCATAGAGCAGAGTAATATAATCTTCACTGAGTCTTTAAAGCCCAGTTACGTTATATTCTCTATTATATAGTAACCATTTCATATGTTTTTCAATAACAAATAACATAAAATCACAGTTTTAGATGAACTTTAGGCAGGGATCATCGCTAATCTTCAATCTTTGAGGGCTGGCATGGGTGTTTGGTTAATTTGAAATAAACCAATGATTTTCCCTTATCTAAATCAGAGTCTAAATATGATGAAAAATGTGTCACAATATATTTTTTCAAATAATGATATCGAACTAGATTATATTCAGTGATGTTTAGAAAATACTATGGTTGCAATATTTTTAGCTAAAGGTTAGTTAGATACTTGATGAAATTCATTGTCAGATTAAATAATTTCTATTGACTTTGTTTTGAAAACTTCATCGAAATTGCACTTGTCCAAATAGAATGGCAAAATATTTATTCAAAACAATTATCATCAGTTACTTATACACAGATTATCTATTCCATTATCAAATCAATAGTCTACGCGAAACTTCTATATTACCAATACATATAAGAATTCGTAAAAATTGAAAGAGTTTGGTACTGAACTACTCTGCAATCAATTGAGGTCCAAATAAAACACTAGTCTCTAGCCATAGCACCATTATAGCGAGGTAATATTGTGAGAAACTGAAAATTTTCGGCCGATCCTGAGAAGAAACATAATTGAAATAGCGAATCACTATCGGCCTAACCAATAAATGCCTCCATAGTATTTTTTCGATTAATTATTTCGAAAAAAAAAATTAAAAAAAGATTAGCTGGAGTAGGGATCGAACCCAGGTCTTTTCGTTCGGAGAAAGGAACACTACTCTAATGACCACCACGCTTCTGGCAAAACAAACTACAAAACAATTTTATACGCTCTTTACTTGCCACCGTGGCATTATTTCCCGTATATTATTGCTATGGTTAGGCTCTAATAATAAAACTACTATCATCATAAAATGGTATTCTATTCAATATTTATTCAGAGATTCAGAAACAATAAATACGGATTTTCGAGCTGCCTCTTCAGTGCCTTGACAAACCTGGCCATCGTAGCGCCATCTATGACTCTGTGGTCCGCCGATCCGCTGACGTTGAGGATCTCTTCGCCTTTAACGTTGCCTAGTTCATCGAACCTAGGCAACACCTGCGAACTGCCGACAGCCAGTATAGCCACTTGCGGAGGTAGTATCAACGGTTTCATGTAGGTACCACCTATAGAGCCTATATTCGACACGCTGAACGTGCAGCCTGACAGATCGCCCGGCGAAAAGTTGCCCGTTTTGCCGGTCTTTATCAGCCGTTGAAGTTCCCGGTCTATTTCGACGATCGTGAGAGCTGCGACGTTCTTTATCACAGGTACGGCTAAGCCTACGGCCGTATCCATGGCGACGCCTATGTTGTGCGAGTCGTGGTACAAAATGTTGTCGCAGGTGACATCCACGGAGGCGTTGAGTATCGGAAAATGGTGCAAAGCGTTCGACACTGCTTTGATGAAGAACGGTACGAAGGAGATTTTCGTTTGGTGGGCATTTTTGAGAATGTTCCGCACCTTGGACAGTTCTGTCACTGTTATTTCGTCACTGTACACGAAATGCGGTATCTTCATGGATTCTGTCATGGTTTTCACCATGGCTCTCTTGAAACCTTTGATCGGCTCGATTCTGTCACCTGCAGGAGCGATTTTGGCAGGTGTGGCAAGTTGTTCCATGAATTTGAGGACGTCTTCCTTGAGAATCCTGCCATTTTTACCAGTACCTGGGATTTGTGCTAAATCTAGATTATGTTCTTTGGCTAGGCGTCTTACTGAGGGAATGCTGAGAGCTTCATTGCTATCTGGTGCTGTGTTCACTTCTTCCTTCTCGATTTTTGTTTCCACATCTTGAGGTACACTTTCACTGACTTGCTGTTTTGGTACATCGACATTCACAACCTCTTGCACGTCATCAGTTTCGATATCGACTAGTGGTTTTCCTACTAATGCAATTCCATCTACTTCATAGTGTAGTTTGGCAATGGCTCCATCATACCTGCTGGTTATAGTCACCGAGGCTTTGTCACTTTGCACTTCACAAATATTGTCGAATTGTGACACTTTATCTCCCACTTTGACGTACCATTCTTTCACTACAACCTCCTTGATTCCTTCTCCTATATCTGACAGATTGAAGGCCACTCTTGCTGCCAAATTATGATGAATGTGTAATTTTTTTCGTGCATTCAAGTTTGTTCCTTTTAGAAATCTTGTTAATGTCTGAATGATTTTATTGCTAGGATACATGTTTACTGTGTTATTTCTAAAACTACATTGAACGTTTGAACTCCCTTATCTTTTTTGAATACAATCAGCGATTATTGCTTAAATAATGATGGTGTATGTAAATTTCAATAGCTGAATAGTGAATAATATGGCGGAGTTGATAACAATGATTCTGTTCATCACGCTATCACAGACTAATGTAAACATTACTAGTATTTGATATTTCATGGAATTACTACTGGTGAGGCAGGTAGTTTTCTTGAAAATTAGATCACAAGAGATTTTCTCTAATTGGTTTTTGATGAATCCAAGCTTATGGCTGATAGTTCGCTGAAATCGCACTCTGATTGTTATTGGCCATATTAGTGTTTTTCAATTAGATATCGATTGGTAAGTAGTCAATTCACATATCAGCTCTTGAATAATGAATTGTTTTTGAACTTTATGTTCATTTCACGTATTTAGTTACATTCATTCGGTACATTTATTATCCCCATGCAAAATCGAAATTAAGTGGTCTATAATAATACGTTTTTAGATGATATGAACATTTATTCTCCAGATATTGACCGGCAGGTAGTGACAGATTTTCGGACATGATTTCACCCAGTATGCATTTTGGAGGATATGTATACAGGGTGTATCTAAATAACACCGAAAATATTCAAGGGGTGATTCCTTATGATATTTCAGGGAATAAAGTTCATAATATGAACATGTGTCCTAACTTGCTTCGTTTTCGAGATACAGGTTGTTGATGAGAGATCGTTTTTTTATGTATTACTCAATTGTCTTTTCATCAATTTCAATAAAACGTTGTGGTTTTGTTGATAGTAATATGGAGCTTCTTCTGGTGCAATTAGATTCGAAATAATATTTCCAGTGGCGTCACAGTGGGTAAATCTATCGAAATTTATGGTGAATGTAATTGTACGCCACCAGTTTTTCTGAGTTTCATATTTTTATTAGATTGAACTATTTAAATAACAACTTTTTTATCACCTGTGTGCTCCCGTTCTCATGGAAATGTAAAATATTTTTCTTGGCAGTGTCCAACTCAGTAACTTTATACTTAGGTTAGTTTGCTCGTATCGCTCTTGGGGGCACCCTGTATACATAATTACCCTCCAAAAGGCACGTCCGAAAATCTGTTGCTGCCGGTCTAAAACATTAAATTTCGAATAATGCAGTATTTTAGGCGATGACACAATTTATCTTAGATAAGATATGAACACACGAGAATGACTGCAAACAATTAGTATTTCTAAATATGTATCTTTAGAGATTGCCTGAACTCCGAATACATTTTTACAGACTGCGTGGCATCAGAATTTTTGTTGGAATTAGCGCGTACTAAAACTGGCAGGCAATTATCATGGAGATAATGACTTTCACTTGTTATATGCTTGATTTTTTTCTAAAAATAAACACATCATTTTTTGTCGTATCATCGACCTGCGAAATAGATCAGCTTTTTTTAACTGACATATTTAAAAAAAAAATAGGTGATTGAACATGTGTCGCAGGAGGGATCTCAAAAAACATCATCTACTCCTCTCAATCAATTTGAGCATGATGAAACTATTCATTAGATTTTTCGAATGTGTATACCGAATGACCAGGAAAATGAAGTACATGCCGTCATTCCAATACCTTTGAAGAAATATTTCTGTTCAGCTAGAAGTTTATTTCAACTATATTTTTGCCGCAAATATTCCTCATTTTAAAATGTATTTCATCCATTCTTGAACACATTATACTTGATTTGATTAATAAGCTGAAATTATCAAATATGATGAATAACCGTTGATAAAAAATATAAGATATCATTGTTTATTATTTCGAAATAACAATCATGAAGCTTATTTGTTTTTTCTGTGACGGGAAAAAAGTTTGGCATTTCATCGCTGTTGGCAGGTTATAAAATGTCACTTTTCATAAATTACTTTTTTCCCGTGGGAAAAAAGTGAGTACTTCTTCGGAATTCCACACCACCCTGTATTTGTTTAATTTAAATACGAGTGGATAGTGAATCAAAAGTTGAGATATGGACATGTAAGCCGTTTTGACCAATAATGAATAGTTTTGACACAAAAAATTCCCAAAAATGAAAAATCTCGATTTTCCACACCCTATATCTCGGAAATCATTCCCGCTAGAGCCCGAGTGTGCTAGGTCGTTGAATTCAGCTCTTCAAGGAGATTATGAAAATGCAATAAAATACAGGGTGTTCCATTTGAAAAAATTGATGTTCGATTTTGTGAGCCTTTCTTGTGCCCCTCGTAGAAAATATAGTCATTCCTGAAGTTAGCACTCATAATGCGATATGATGTGGAATTATAATATTTCGAAAATTCCTATTGGTTCAGGAGATATTCAACTGTCCCACTGGTCTAGGGACACCCTGTACATATATACTCTGTTAATGGCTTTTGTTATGCAATAGTTCCGAAAAATGAGTCAATAATACCGTCTCCGAAGAAGTCCTTTTATCTTCCATTCGACTTCGCGGTTTCGTATATTACTAAACAACTACTGAATTCGCAATTTTTCAAAATCGAATCACAGAATTGAACTGACAGAAAGTGACATCAGATATTTGATTACTTCAAAAGAATTATAAAGATGTCTATAAAACGCAGGTGTCCCTACTGTTGAAAACTTGAAATTTCACGTCGATAATTTTCAGATTTCGAAATAATGTAATATCTTCTCAATATTGATTCGTCCTTCCTTCTGTCACAGAAAAAAATAGTGTATTATACACGGGAAAAATATTAGATTTTAGCTCACGGTTTTTTGTCTCCCTCCGCTACGCGTCGGGAGATAACACAACCTGGAGCTAAAATCTACTACTTTTTTCCCTTGTATAATAAATAACTATTTTCTACTTTATGCTTCAGAAAACCATTATTTATTTTGTTTTTAGCATGAGAAATCAATTTCTACCTATGACAATAAAACCACTATTTGCTCCCACCAGTAGGATCTGAGTCTGAACTGCCATCCAAAACAACTTTTTTTAAAGAATCTCTCCCTAATTTACAGTTGCAACCGTACATCAGACAAAGATTAATTGAAATCATCTATTCCCTCTGGAATGCTGTTATTTTAATTCTCATTCGAAATATCACTAATCTGACATCTACCACATTTATTACACAGGGTTAGTCAAACATGTGTACCGAGCTTTCTGGCATTGATTGTACATTGAAAAATTAGAGATATTATTATATCATTCCAAAGTTGATAAAATGAATAACTCCTAAATGGTAAAAGCCACCAAATTGAAATTTCTTGCATGAATGAATGTTGATAAAATACATTTTTCTGCAGCCGACACATAAGTCCATTTTAATACCAAAATTAGCTCTTGAATTGACGTTTCTATTACTGACACAAAAATTGGTATGTTGCTAGGCAACACATTTAGTTTCTAGGAGCTGAACATTGTTAGGGTTGGTTATTTGGGTTGGGACGCATAACTGATTTGTTTCCGATTTCGGCAGATTTGGCATTCCATACCCATGCTGGAGATATAAATACACCTTATTATAGTTAAGTATTGTTATTTTGATCAGGAAAACCTTTAAGATTCACATACTTGCTCGATCTGTATTTTATTCAATAGTTTTTTGTCTGAAACAACGATGTTGTTTTCTTCCAACTGATTATTAAGCCAAACACAGTGGAGTATGGAGAGAGATTTTTCACGTCTTGTTCCTATACTGGAACTGGCGCGGTATTTGCCATTAGAGCACCTGGTCCATACAAATATGTCACTCTGTGGTTGTGTTTATATTGAAACTACAATTCGACAATCCTTGAAAATTGAATAAACCTGCTGTTAATACAGGTAGAATACTCTAACCACACAGATTATTTGTTGCATTGCATACATATGGCACGGCATTGGTGGCATTCGGTTGCAGAAAAAATTCCATGTTTCATTCGAATCAAAAGTGACTTTGTTTGACTCGCAAATTTTGCATTTGCGAGGCGGAGCGTTTAACGCAATATATTCTATAATATGCATGACAATATATAAACGTAACGACATTTATGCAAGCAAAAATCATCAGAATATGAATACAAACCTCCGAATATGGGTACGAACCTCCTCTATGCTCCGCTCGTGCTTAAAATACTCGTTACTAAAAGGACGTTTATCACACTTGTTACATAATATACTATTGAGTACATGAATTCACATTAAAAATTCAAATCTAATGGATAGTTATTTTGGTATCTAGTGCGCGAAATGCAACTTTGGTGATGGAGAAATGATTTTTAAAATAGTCGAGATGACCAAAGTATTTTGCGCACGAGTTGCAAACAATTTTTGTTATAGAAACGTCAAAAAATATAGTTCTGAAGTAGTAGTAGTAGTAGTTGATATGAAAAATAGTATTGAACTGGTTTAAAAGGTCTTTCCCTATCCTCCCTAGGTACTCACGATGTTCCACAAACATTATAGGAATTTTCTTTCGTGCGGTCCAAGAGATAAAAAAAATATTGTTAAACATTCAGAAATACATGATTCTTCGGATATTTGCTCTATTGAGGACCTTGAAGTATTAAAACTCAGATAGTTTACATACAATGCGCGAAGTATGTACTTCGCGCACTGCTGTAAGGTAGGAAACTGAAAAAAAGTATAACTTGGCAATTCGTTATCAATGCGCGAACCTTGTCATTTTTCGACGGTATAAAAAATAACTTGATCATATTATATTTACAAAGCAATTAGCATAGTGGTCTATTTTGCTGATTTCGTTGCTCCTCTCTCTCTTTTTTCTACTTCAAATTCATCTTTTTAACAATGATAATGAGATGGTGGCGTGTACCTATTAAATATGTCAACTGTTTTCCAAAATGTGTGAATTACTTGCTCACCATTCGATATACTGAACTGAGCAAAGTCATAATTATTATTACGTCATCCATAAAACAAGTGACAATATTTCAGCACTCACCTGAATGACAAAATTCGGTGCGGTACACCATCGCAGAGATAAAAATACATATTTTTGTTTGTTCTAAAATTGTCGGCTTCTCGCCTTGACATAGGATGAATCCTGACTCACACACGTCATTACTTTTATGATTTTTCTTGTTTCTCTGTGTCGGCGAGCATTTGGCCAGCATTTCGAATATCTTGAATTTATTCGTCATTTAGCTGTTGTTGACGATTGGTGTGTTTTTGGTTATTTCGAGTGTCGGTGGAAGATTTCAGGTAAAATTATCTTGTACATTTCATTTTCGCTTTACTTGTAAATAAATCGAATGATTTGTATTCGATCAAATGATAATGTATGCACTGTATGATGCTGGCAAGTACTTAGATAGGCATTCGAAAATACTAAATAGAGCTATTATCATTATTATGACATGATGAAACATTATCTTATCGAAGAAATTATTATTTTAAAATTGTTCTGAAAAAATGATTGTGGAAAGAATGATTCTAAAACAAGTCGAGTCTGAAAATAATCATTTCTTCTAGATCGAAAATAATATGAGTGTTTTGATACTTGTTCAACTATGAGATATGATCGGATTAAGTGAATTATTTAGGTTTTTATGTGTAAAATAATAGCGAGAATAATACCCAAAATTCGAAAGTTGATTTTTTTGAAAAAAACGGTAAACGATGTCCAATCGTTAAAATTTTAGGGAAATCGCTAGAAAAATAAAGGAGAAAAAGTAGTGGACAGTAGGTGGTATTATAATATGTCATTCTATAATAATAATATAATTTCTTCTTTTATATTCATGTATGTATCCCTATTATAAACAGAAATGTTTCTTGGGGTAATAAAGTAAAATGTCAAAAAGACAATCAATAATAATAATAATAATTAATCGTCTTCATTCCTTTGATTTCATAATATCATAAATGAAAAACAAGTGAGGGGCGAGAAATAGCTTATGGATACAATACTACTAGTTTTTTTTTACTGTTCGTATAGGAAAGTCAATATGTAATTGGGAACAAGTAGTGCTCTTATCAGTCTCATTATATTCTAATGATATAACTTTCAATTCAATATCTCAGAAATGTGCAGGTCGACATCAAAATAATTTTGTTATAGTTCAAAGAAGCATGTTATATGGAAATAGACGACACCTCAGCGGAGGTCTTGAGAGAACTTTAATAGAATTTTTGAGCATTTGTCGATGTTCCTGGGTTATTCCCTCCGAACAACAAACCCCCATCAATTATCTCTTTGATATCAGAACCAAATCGTGTCATTTTAGATTTTTTCCCCAATGCAGTTGATTCTGGTTCAAATGCTTCTGAAAAAACGTTTCGAAATTGAAAGCAAGTTTAGGAGGGGGGTTTTGATCATTTGTCAACAGCTTAAACATTAAATTCAACATGAAACAACAATTCAAAGACGGATCTCGATGAAAGCAACCTCGCTTGATTCAGGTAAAATAGTAATTTACGTAACAAGTCCAGAAAATACTGTTTTTTTGGACGAGTAGACAAAATTCTAGGCCGAGCCGTAGGCGACTCCTGGAAGTCTGAGAGTTCAAAAAAACTGTTTTTGAACGTGTTGCGTACAATATTTTTTCGGCAACCATGTAGAATAACATATCAATGAGACACATTTTCATATTATATTTTTTTGTAGAATACAATTTCTTCTTTATTACTTCTCATTTGTATCAAATACTGAAATTTGAACAAAATACCTATACCTACTAACTGTTACATTAGGAATATCGTATGGACATTTTCAAACTCACTATCATAGCTGCTCTCGATAGTTTATTGCGATAATTGCAGCCAAACTTTCAAAAATCAAAATATCAACTAATTTCATGTCAAATAGCTGTCAGCCGATATTTCGCTGCTATGGTAATTATCATCTGCATTTATCAAAACCTTATCTACCAAGATTTCCATAGTTACAGTGACAACAACGATGTGAAACTTCCCAGCCTAGCTGAATCCAATAAATGACCACATAATATCAAAAATTGCAGACATATTTCAAAATTTTGAATTGCATTAAGAAAACACATGATTTCATTATACAACAGATAAAATTGATACTTTGCCATCTACTGATTGATCCCTGTTGCTATTTTATGATCTGATCGATTTAGCATTTTTAGATTTTTTTGTTTTTTTGTTGTTGTCACCTTATGTTATTTTATTATTATTGTTTGTGACCAACTTCCTCATACCGGAATTCTATTTCTGACTGGAATCTTTTTCCTCAATAAACAATAACATTTTCTGGCAATCCCAGTATATCCTAACATGTGTTTAGCATATTGCTATAGGAGTATCCTTCGTAAATCGATTGTGAAGCTGACCTAGTGCATCTGATGAGGCTCGGCAAGCCGAAACAGTGTGTCTTGCAACGGCTGACAATCGATTCACGAAATGTCCCTAGAATCTTCTCATCTACATTTTATTTTTCCCCGATTTCACAAAATATGTTTTGTTTCAGAAATGGCATTTACCCACTAACGGCCTTCGGGGCCAACAAACCACCTTCTGCTCGATCGAGAGCGATATCTCCGGAAATGGCGGAGTCTGTCAAATCTGTCACGCCGGAGCCCACCGATATAGAACCTAGGAAAATAATCAATATGATGTGTGATGTCAAATCCAAAGAAGAAAGCTGTGATTTATTGGTATGTTGAAATGATAGTATAGAAATAGTAGTTTAAGAAACTAAAGGAGCACCCGAACTAAAAAGATGTATAGAATAAAATAATAAAAGTGTGTTGATAAATACACAATTTAGAAAATATTAGCACCTCCGTATTCAGTACAGGGTGTCCCGCTTGAATGTGTCACCTCCCATTATCCTCGTAATTCTCAACATATTTTGGTAATTCGAAAACTTTTCTGGAATATTTTTTCACGAATTTTTTGTATCTGTGCCTACTGTGCCTCTGCTCATTGAAAAATTAGAATACTATGGTATAAGGGGCATTGCATTACAGCTGCTTCGTTCGTACCTCCACAACAGGATTCAGTGTGTGGAACTGAATGATGTTAAGTCTGATTACAAACTAATCGAACATGGGGTACCACAAGGCTTGGTCGTTGGACCATTTTTATTCATCGTTTATATCAACGACTTATGTCAGTTTATTGCGCCTACCGAATGTGTCCTATTTGCCGATGATACAACTCTTGTATGCTCAGGAAAATCAGATTCGGACCTTATTGCATCTGCATCAACAGAACTAATTCCAGCCAAGATCTGGTTCAATCAGAATAAACTCAAGCTCAATGAAAACAAAACTCAGAATCTATTGATTTCCTCGAATTCAAACTTTCAAGAGGGAAAAAGTGTGAAATTTCTAGGCCTCACCATAGACGACAGACTGAGTTGGTCCAATCATGTTGATCATGTAGTGAGAAAGTTATCCAGCGCTCTGTTTGTACTAAGACAATTGAAATGTATAACCAATCTTGGGAATTTCATATTTTTCATTATTTCATTCTGTACTGTCATACGGTATTTTACTCTGGGGCAATTCAACAAATGCTATAGCAGTTTTCAGATGTCTGAAGAAAGCTATACGAATACTGGCAAACTTAGGCTATAGAGATCACTGTCATCAACATTTCATTAAGCTTGGTATCATGCCGATGCCTACCTTATACATATTCACAGTTTTACTAGAAATACACCAAAATGTGAGTTAATTTGGTAAACAGTCTGACTTTCATAGTCATAATACAAGATCGGCTAATTTATTGAGAACCCCACGACACAGATTAGCTGTTAGCTGCAGAAACTCTTTGAATTTCAATATTTATAATATTCTCCACAGCTCCGTCAAAATGTTGGAATTCAAAAAATTCAAATCTGTCATCAAACAGTTCCTTTTAAGCCATTGTTTTTATAATATTGATACCTATATGGAGTCAGCAAGTTCACTGAGGCTTTAACCGTTCCTTTATAAATCCCTTCAACAGGACATTGTTATTTTTATGTTTTGTTCTTATTTATTTTTATCTTATTGACAGATCTTGGCCAGTCTGTCTGTCTCCTCATTTCCGGGTATCCCCGAGTTTCCGGGACCCACATGAGGCTGACTCTTCTCGATTTTGCCAGGTTTTCCAAGGCATTTCGCACTCGGACATCAAATTGGTTGTGATCCTACCGGCCGTCACTCTTGTTAATGTTGAACGAATTTGTTAGGTGTTAAAGTATCTTCTGTTATAGTCGGTAATTCAGAATTCATCCAGCCATTTTTATTACATTAGTTATCTGATATTATCTTCTTGGCCGGTGTAATATAACAGTAAGTAGGTACTGTATAGTATTTGTTGCCGATAGTTGCCAGGGTTGCAATGATAATAATAATAATGATAATAATAATAATCATAATGTCTTTATTGAACAATAGTTATTTATTATACAAGGGAAAAAAGTAGTAGATTCTAGCTCCAGGTTGTGTTGTCTCCCGATGCGTATCAGAGGGAGACAAAAAACCATGAGCTGAAATCTAATATTTTTCCCGTGTATAATACACTATTTTTTTTCTATGACAGAAGAAAGGACGAATCAATATTGAGAAGATATTACATTATTTTGAAATCTGAAAATTATCGACGTGAAATTTTAAGTTTTTAGCAGTAGGGACACCTGCGTTGTAGGCATCTTTATCATTCTTTTGAAGTAATCAAATATCTGATGTCACTTCTGTCAGTCCAATTCTGTGATTTGATTTCAAAAAATTGCAAATTTAGTGGTTGTTTAGTAAATATACGTAACCGCGAAGTCGAATGGAAGGTAAATGGACTTGCAGTTCTTTCTCGGAGACGGTATTATTGACTCACTTTTCATAACTATAGCACAAAAAAAGCCATCAACAGTGTATATATATCTGATATATATCCGGGAAAAAAGTTCTCACTTTTTTCCCGTGAGAAAAAATGTAATTCATAAAAAGTGACATTTTATAACCTGCCAACAGAGATGAAATGCCAAACTTTTTTTCCGATTTTCACAATAAATAAAACAATCATCATGTCCCAGGCGAGGTTCAGGTAGTTCTCCAAGGGGTAGTCTGGCTCTATCACAGTGCGAAACTGAGAAACATAGCTATGGTAACATTCTTAAAAGTAGTAAAATTAAAGAGAGGGTCGTCTAGGAGAAAAAATAACAGAATTGGTGTAAGAGATATTATGAAGTGAAGAGATCGATGGAAAAATTGGATGTTTCCATCGGCTAGAAGAATCGATGAAAAGCTGATGAGATACTGAATCAAGTATAACGATAGACACTGCCAACAGTAGGCAGCAGCAGTACTAGCAGTAGTGATCGAGGTTCACCATCTATACGTTTTGAAAGGTCTCTCTCGATTGAGTGACCAAAAATAATAGCATTCATTCAATTATTCAATGCATTGTAAAAAACAGAAATTTAGCTGATATTCAGGGTGTTGAAAATATTATCCGGAACCCCACGACCTCATTCATATTCAGATCATTATACTCTTACACCGGCCATAATGTTTGATACTTATAATCAATGAGAATAAATGTCCAAGTATTTCGTGTCTTCATTGTGATCCTCAGAACAGGAAAGAACCCAACATTTGAATTGTAGCTTAATACAACAGTCAAAAAACTTGTAACCTCAAAAAGTTTAAAACAAAATGTCCATTACCTTCTTTCTCTCATTACACTCCCTTCGGACACATATTTCTTAAACATAATAGGGAGTTCCTTTCATGTGCTAATATAATTTGACTAATGTTTACAACTCCATCAACATCGTACTAAAATGATTATTGTACGGGTAGTTTATCTGAAAAAGCTACTGTGTTAGGGAAATGTCGTGTTTCTGAGAATTTTGTGGAAATCTTACTGAAGTTTCTGGATATAATGCAATGATGAAAAATTTTGTGACATTGTAATATTCTTAAATGCTCGAGGATCAATAATTGAAAAAAAAATCGAAATCGAATCAATGAAATAATTATTGTGAATAGAAAAATGACATGGATATATGAGTACTAGCAATGAAATAATGAATATGTGCCTGAAATTCCACTCGTTCTCGGAGCAGGTGTCGTTGTTTTTGCCCACATTCTTGGCAGATAATTGGCACATATGGTGAATTTTCATGATGATTTCAGTGCTTCATCAACTTGGGCTATCCACATAATTTAAAGTGATTTATAATAGTGCATCCAGAAAATTTGGCTGATTCGTGCAATAATAATTATTCAAAATTAACACTTTATTATCCAATTTATTAAATTGAGTTGATTCAGAATTTGATAACCTACCTAGTTATTTGGAGAAATTAGATGGACCGAACGTTCTTCCCGTAAATGCTCCATATCACAATTATTATTGATGCCTCATTGTTCATTTGTCTTTTTTTTTTCAGTTGACTATTGTACTACGAATGGATGATAAGATGAATAGGCAGTTAACTAGTTGTATTTCTCCAGGGGACAACCCGCAGTTGTTAGCAGAAGAATTAGTGCATTACGGTTTTATCAATGAAGTGAGTATTCTCGATGGAATTATGCTATGAAGTGGCTTCAAAAATCCGATGACAATTTTGAACTTATTTCAAATAGTTAATTATAAAAATATCTGTTCCATTTCCAACCTTGGTAAGTAGTTCTGTATTTATGTTTGCTGAAATAAGTCATTCAGATCTCTTTAGGCCTGTTCGTTTGTGTTTGCTCTACTTGCTAAACATTTTTTCTATGACTCTCTCTGTCTACATTATGCCATGAACAGAGACAACTATGGAGAAAAAATCAACTTTAGCAAGTTTAGCAATACAAACGAACAGGCCTATAGTTGATTAAGTCACGAAAAATACGAAAAATCGCAACGTACTTATTTTACACACTGTATATCTTTCACATAATCAGAAAGTAGAGATTCCAGTGAATGAAAAGTTCACCGACTCTTTTAAAAAAGCAGATATTTTGACGCGAGAATTTCCTATTGAAAATTAGGATGCTTTTTCGATATTAAGTCAAACTAAGGTGAAAAAAAAAAAAACAGTGTATTTGGGGCATATAAAGGAGTAGGATTCCACCAAATTTCGTGAAATAAGTATTTTTTGGTTTAAGATGAAAATAAAATACCAAAAACTAGGTTATTTCAACTTTTCATATGAATTTCGAGGTTATATGAAAAAAGTGTAAGTATAAAAGCTATGAATCTTTATATTACCTACAACTTTCACTATCCAATATTCTTCCATAGGACTTGTAGTTTTGCGAGAAATCGAGATTAACCGTTTTTCACCCTCAAAAGTTCACCTCTTTTACTTCCCGACCTCAAATCGATTTTTATTATATTATTTTCCTTTTTCAATTCAATAGGTTTCATTCTTCTTTAATTTTTTTTTTCGGTTTCTAAAATTATCTACCCTGGTCTAATCAGGTATATTCCTTTTAGAATGGTTATTTTATGCAGGGTGTTTCAAAAAAACCTGACCCCCTTACTAGGGTAGGTAGTACACTGCAAAATAAGTTGGGTTTACTCAGTAAAAAAATTTCGTAACGGCATCCGTTATCAAGATACAAGATTTTAAAAAAATGTTTTTTTCACACATTTTTCAAGACTATGTCGAAACTACTGGCAACATTGTGATGAAATTTTGTATGGATGTTTCTTGGAATCTGACATATCGCATGCATTTGTTGTTATACCTGACTCTTATAGAGGTCGCTAGTTACACGGTTCATACCGAGTAGTTTTGAACATAACTTTTTTGAGGTTGGATTTTTCAATCCAAATTTGATGTGAACTTGAACATCATTCAATTTCCCACCAAAAAGGTGCTCTTGGTAAAATTCGATACTGTGTTCCGTATCATTCAATTTCCCACCAAAAAGGTGCTCTTGGTAAAATTCGATACTGTGTTCCGTTTTCGGAATATTCCGATTTAAAAATGATGAAGTGATAACTGTTGCTGGTATAAAGCTATGTATTAGAGTGAGTATTGTGAAAAATTATCACCTATTTATTGAAAACCAAAAACAACAATACATTTCTGATGCTCAACTTATTGATTTAACAATGAATCAAAAGAATAACAGAAACAGTTTTGACTAAGAACATGGATTACACAGTTTTGTTGTATCTTGAGCAGAAAGTCTATACTAAAGAGGTAAATTCACGTCAAGAGTTGTAAAACATAATTGAACATCACTTTAATGACCTAACAGCTGATACTCAACTGTTTAGAAGAATAATACATTCTTAGTAAAACAATATAGAATCGTGAATTCGTCGAAACGTGGGACATTTTGAACAATTATACTTTAACTTATTCAATATTTCATGTTTCTAGTCAGATATCTCTCAATTTTCTACTTATGATTCTTTGTTCCATCAATAACTTCAACACAAGATAATTTCATTATTGTCGAATCTGAATAAATAGGTAATTGAACTCAATAAAATTCATTTTATACCAGAACATAGTATCGAGTGTCACCAAAAGTACCTTCTTGGTGTAAAATTCAATGATGTTCAAGTTCATATCAAATTTAGATTGGAATATCTAACCTCAAAAAAGTAATATTCGAAACTACTAGGTATGAACTGTGTAACTAGCGCCCTCTATGAGTGTCAGATATAAAACCAAATCAATGCGATGTGTCAGATTTCAAGAAACATCAATACAAAATTTCATCACAATGTTGCCAGTAGTTTCGACCTAATCGACAAAAATGTGTAAAAAAATCATTTTTTCAACACCTTGTATCATGAAAACGGATGTCGTTACGACATTTTTACACTGAGCAAACCCAACTCATTTTGCAGTAGTGTTCTACCTACCCTAGCAAGGGGATCAGGTTTTTTTGAAACACCTTGTAGACTAGTAATGGAAAAATCACATAACCAAATTTCCGATCCGTTCCAGATTGACCGAGAAAAGATAGCCAACCTGATCGAGGACTCCCTGCAGAACATCTCCACGACCACGTCGGGCGACAGCAGTCCCACCCACTCCCCCCACTCCCACCACCACCACCACCCGCACGCCTTCCCCGCCTACCAGGTGCTGGCGCCCGTGCCGCTAGTAGCCGCCCCCGCGCCTGCGCAACAAGTCGTTCCCGTCACGCTGCCCCCCGCCACCGCCAATCAAGTGCCGATGCATTCGACCAGTTAGTGAACTGACACCAGCACGGCCCGAGGAGCGGGTGTTGGTGTTGTGATGTTTTGCTGTGGAAAATCCGGAGAATTGAAGTTCCATGAGGAGTACGGCGATTGGTATGCGATGGATGAGGGTGTTGTTGTTGTTGTTGTTGTGGTGTTTTGCTCTGGAGAATCTACGCCCCGGGAAGTACGTGGGTGAGGGTGTTGTTTTGGTATCCTGCTCTGGAAAATTTGCCGGTGAAGACGAGATTGGTGAAACTAATGATTATCTGTAAAGGAAGGTTGGCTCGACCAGTAAACGTGGTGATGGGAAATAGTGATTCTTGGCAATTTAATTCATGTATGAAAAATTCACAAGCCGCGATATTTTGTCATTATGACAGCGAAAAAAGTTTGCCCTAACTTTTCCAGCGACAATAACGGAACCTAACTTTTGAAAGCATGACAACCAGCCATAAACAAATGTTTGATGAATTAAATTGTCTTACCGAATTACACTCTAGCTTTTTCTTTCAGTCGAAGTAAACTTGGCATTTATAATTCGAATTTTGTTGCCATTAGGTAATTCAACTCGAAAAACTGACAGAAAAAAATTACTCGTCCTACGAACTCGTAATTTTTTCAGAGGCAGTTTTTTTCGTCAAATTGCCAGGCAACAAAATTCTTATTGATATGAAAATTCCATTCCAGAGTCATGAGAATCAATTGTCCATTTCAAATAAGAAGATAGCATTGGAGACTATAGGGAAGCGTTGAACCTTAGCTTTGATTGGTTATTAATGGAGGAAAAATTACACCTGCCTAATATTATGACTTATACAGGGTCGCTGGTATGTATGGAAACAGGTGAATATCTCGGCAATCTGTTGTTAGATTTTTTTGAATTTATGTACAGTGTGATTTATAATCGTGGCGGATTTGAAAATGTTATAGCCTCTGTTGCCACTTTTTCAGTCATTCCGGATTTTTAGTAACTTCCTTATTTTGAATGAAACATCCTGTACTTTATTGGATATCCAGATTCTCCTTGAAGAGCTGATTCCATCGATCTATCACACTTGGGGTCGAGCAGGAATGATTACATAGGTATAGGGTGTTTAAAATCTAGGTTTTTCAACTTCAAGATTTTTTTGTGTAGAAACTATCCATTATCGATCAAAACCGCTTCAATGTTCCTATCTTTACTTTTGATTTACCATCTACTGACTATTTAATTGGAACAGATACAGAGGGTGATCAGAATTCTGAATCTCGAACCACCTTGTATTTGTTTCAATTAAATGTCAGTAGATAGTAAATCAGAAGTAAAGATGGGAACATTGGAGCGGTTTTGATCGATTATGAATAGTTTCGACACAAAAAAATCCTAAAGATGAAAAATCTAGATTTGAAACACCCTAAACCAATGTAATCATTGCGGCTAGACCCCAAGTGTTATAGATCGATGGACTTAGCTCTTCAGGAAGAATCTGAAAATCCAATAAATTACAGGGTGTTCTATTCAAAATAAGGAAGTTAATAAAAAATCCGGTATTACTGAAGAAGTGGCAACATTGGCTATAACATTTCCAAATCTGCCATGTTTTGAAATGTACATAAATTCAAAAAAATCCAACAACAGCTTACCGAGATATTCACCTGTTTCCATACATATCAGCGACCCTGTATAATGTGGCATGAGAGTTGAAGTTTTCTTTATGGGAAGATGATCACATCACATTCCATTTATTTATCGTATTTTATATGTTATAATTGAACCTGAGGATAAACTCGAACCTAAAGTGAAATTCAATCATTGGAATGGCTATGATTTTGAATTAGGCGCCATATACAGTGTGTCCCACTTCTAATGGAAACACCCCTGTATCTTACAGGTTCGTTGGGTGAGGATCCTGAAATTTGCTGAAGCGGGAGATAGACTGCTCGCCAACAGCCATGGAACCACCCCAATTTCCGGAAAATGATATTAGGAGGCAAAATAGGTTGAAAATCACTTCGGATTTGGAATCAGAATGCCCAATTCACTAACTATTTATATTTTTATGGAACAAGTTTCAGCTCTGAACTTTTCATTTTTATCTCACTTTTCATGGAAGCACCGCATCTTAAGCAATCATTAATGTAGGAATCTAAAATCCTTTGAATCAAGAAAGAGACCAATGACCAAGTAGGATGATCTTCGATGATACACTGCTTACCAGCAGCCACAGAACCACCGACATTCCGGAAGGAAAAATTTTCCAAATCGGAAAATTCACTCAAAGGTTGTTCTGAAATAGATAATCATAAAGTCAGTTCTCATCAGGAGTGTTCCAATAGATCAGAAATCATTACGGGTGTCATTGAAATGAATTATGAATCGTTACCGATAATAATGCAACGAAATATGGAGAGTTGGTGAATTGGACGTCCTGTTTTCGAATCCGAAGTGATTTTCAACAACATCTGTCTTGATATTTTCCGGACTTGTGTGTAGTTCCAGGGCTGTTGGCGAGCAGTGTATATCACTGAAGATGACTCCACCTGATCATAGAGTACATTTTTGGTATATCTGTCACTCCAGCAAATTTCAGGATCCTAATCCAACGATTACGTAAGATAAAGGGGTGTATCCATTAGAAGTGAGACACACTGTATTTATTTTATCAGCGTAAACATTCCTTCAGAGGCAGCGCCACCTACTTTCTTCTTATTTGGAATGTAGTTTATATTCTCAAACTATTTTCATGTATATTTCCCTCACCCCGTTATCTGATCGCAAACTTCATCTACAAATAATCATCAATTCAACCAACCTTGGGTAAAAGTGGATTTCTGGCCTTCAGGAAATCTAGTTCTTTTGATTACAAGGTGGTGTGTTGGTACGGGGAAGTCCAAAAATATCTCCGAACATGAGAGAAATAAAACAAACTGAACTGCTGGCCAACTGGAGGGATCAATTCGAATAAATATCCTGGATTCAAGTGACAAATCTAGCGCAGATTCCTGTTATAATAATAAGATGAAAAGGTAGATAGAAGACACGTCGCACCACCTGACGGCAACAACTTGAACAAGGGCACCAATGAAAACAATGTAAACATACCGCTTTGACAGCTTTCAATAACTCCCATTGGTGGCGTATGCTTATTTTCTATCGCGCTCTGTTAGCTATCCAAACTTTTCTCAATAAACACAGGGCGCTGTCCATGCAAATTATGAAATACAGGGTGTTTCCTAACTACGGTACGGAACTATAGTGGCTGATTCGTTGGGTTGTTTTTCTGAAGTTGAATAAAAAAACGATATTTATAACATATCATGAATACCCTTATTACAATGATTCGGTTAAAATTTGCTACAGTTATTTGAAGTAATAAGGCCCTATTTAGATTCAAATTATTAGTTCCAGTGGCGTCTCAGTGGGCACCACAGCCAACAATATTGAGGAAAAAAAAGCGCCACTGACTTTTTTGTAGTTTTTAATTTTTTTAGATTAGTCAACTAAAAATAATAAAACTGACTTTCACTGATATGCAAAGTGACCTCATTTTTTTTCCCGAAAGCAAGCTGGATATGAAGAGGACAAGCGACGAAAAAGTTGTATTTTTAGTGGATAAATCGAAAAAAATTAGAAACTACATAGAAAGTTGTTGATTTTTACGCATTCAAAACGAGACTTACCTGTATAATTTGATAAGTATCTACCTTTTGTTAATCACAATCATGTTTCAGAATGATCCATAAAGAATTGAAAATCAGGGAAAATCCGCGAAAAAATCGTTCCCACACCAATGGCCACCTTGTTTTCATGTATTATCTGGCTTTAAAGGAAGGATATTTTGTTGGCGTTGAATTGAAACCAATAGTAACCGACTATTCATGAAAATCTCCATGGTAAGTTTTCCAAAAAGCAAAACAGTTCACTGATAATTCCACAACACCCTGTAAATACAGCGTATAGAGGGAGCGTCGCGCGGTCAGAGGAGAAGACTGTCGATTTTTTTAAAAAAATATTGTAGTAGGCAAAGAGTAGTAAGTAATATCAGAAGTGCCTAAATCTTTCGAACCATTCCCATCACGTGATATGTTGAGATTCGTGTTTTTCGATCGATTATTTTTCTAATGATGGAAGTAAGATATGGTGCGCGCATTCGGCTATCATTACGTATTGAAAATTTCAGAAAAATCACTCGACCGCCTACTATAATTTCTCTATGTATTCTACATTTTCCTGCTAGATTGTGATGCTGCTATTGCTGCTGTTATGAGTGGAAATAAAATGGCAAATGGCATTTCAGGTACGCGGAACGTATTTAACAGTGGGATTATTCAACTCTGAATTCGAAAAATCCGCGACAATTTCAAAACTGACAGATATCATGATTGTGCAATGTCGCCATCTATTAGAAGATCGACGGAACCATTCCTCTCGCTGTTCTCGAGAGGTCGAGTAAAATTTCTGAAACAAAAGCGCATCAGTGAATACACCATATCTTACTTCCATCTTTATTTTTCTCAATGAAATTAGCCCAATAAATGAAGGAGGAAAAAAAGGCAAAGTTAACGTTAATTACGCACTATTTTCATCTTCCGGTTGGAAGTAGCTTTTGGTACCTCACTAAACATGAGGCAAAGTTCGACTGGAAAACGCGTGCGATGGCGGAGAAAATGGCCCCAAAAGACCAGGAAAATGAGTTTTCGGCCAATATCTCCTAAAATATGACAGTTAGAGATTTTCGGTTCAGATAAAGATTAAAGTTCAGTTAATTTTCTACAAAAATTGTCCTTATTATTTTTCTAGAAAATTTGCCCGGTTTCGTGAAAAACGGCACGAAGCGCACCTCGAATAATGAGCTTCTGTGTTGTATGCCGGAGAGCACAGTCCGTGTATTTACACTTCGGCGGGGGGACAAATTATTCAATAGCTTTGTTAAAAATGCATATTTTCTCAGGATTCAGAGTTCATGTGAAAGAGGAATTCTGCTGCTATCATACCCTCACGCTTGACTCTTTTGGCCATATCGGAACATG